TGTACAGATGTAATAATAAGTGTTGATCTTTCCCTCTCCTTACATTTATGCACTTTTATATCTATATTATATATTAAAAAACGTTTCTAAAATTGATTATGTGCCACGTCATTCCCCTCTCATAGCATTGTGCCACATTATCACTTAATGACACGTCATTATCATTTAACAAATCATTCCAACTATTATTAAAAAGCTTTTGATGAGTTTCGAACAGTAGAACTTAAATAAACAAGATCTACTTCCTTACCCATGCATCTTAGCCAATAACAATTGATGTCACCTATACATATAAACATAACTATAAATGACATGCATCAATTAAAAAGGAAATACCATATAAGCAGTTTGAAAAAAAAAAGGAATAAAATCAACATTTCACAAACAATAGTGTTAAAAAATTATCTTTCTTTACACTTTATCAATTAGTAACTTAATTTTTAACATTTATGCATTACATACATAATAGATGAAAATATATTTCATTTTGTCAAAAAAGATGATAATATATTTTATAAATAAACAATTTAATCAAAGTGGTAAGCCGGTACAACGTTTGGGCCGCATGCTAGTTATTTATTTATATTATGGGTAAATATATTATAGGTAAATTTAAAGGTCACCTATATTGCAATATTGTATGAATAATTGCATAGATGTTTCCTGAAGAAAAAAAAATTGTAAACAATTGAAAAAGCCATGCATGAAAAATGAAAAGTTTAAACACAACCCAATATACACATTTCATTAATTTATTAAACTATTTACTCCAAAACCCAATGTCGTAAAGTGTTTAAACACAACCCAATATAAAAATCAAGAAAAGGTAAGCCACTCCGCGCGCGTTAGTTGCTCTAGTACAAATTAAAATTGGGTACTCGGAATCTATACCCAACGGTTCCAATTTGATTTCTTAAATTTTAGAACCGGTTAAACATGTTTCAATTCCGGTTCCACATTTTAAGAACCTGTCCCAACCAGTTCTTAGTTTGGTTCCTAAAATTTTGATTGAGTGGTTTGCTTATCCCTAATACAACTATATTAGCCATTTAACTTATAATATCAAATTATCAATAACAAATACTTCGTATACCATAGAATTAGTAGAGAAAATGTACTATTAGTCACTCATAATAACTCTACTGGAAGAAAAAAGAAAATGCATTACTTAGTGTACATACCTTGGCAACCTTGAATGTAGGGATTACCCTCGAATCCGGGCTTGCATTGGCAGCGGTATCCTCTTGCAACGTCAAGGCACTCACTATTATTTCCTTTGCATATGAAATCTGCTTTCGAATTCCGGGCCGTATCACAATCTCCAACTCCAATAATCGATCAATAGTAAACTTCTCGAAGTAAGTAGAGTCTTGGGATAGATTGTCCGCAACATCGGTGGGCATAGCATCATTTGCGACCGCAAATGCAACACTACATGGGTTGAAATCTAGTACATAAGTGTTATTTGTAAAGCTGTAAGCTCTTATGGATCTTAACTGGTCCAATGTATCAGGAATTGAGGCAATGCAACAACCAGTAGAGCACCTATTATTCTTATCAACAAAACCAATATTCATTGCTTGCCTATTGTCACACTTAGCCGAACACTGTAAAAGAAATATTGTATTTGTATTATTATAGTTCCCATAACCAAAAGCATCCACAAACGCATCACATCCATAGCCAAAAAGAGAATTTTTTGTAGATGAAAACTCAAACCAGTCGTGATGCTAAAGCTAATGTATCAAAGTCGATCTTTTTGTCAATCTCTTACAATTATCGAAGTAACTTTCATTTGTGTGGCTAGAACACAAATGAATCAAATATCTCAATAATTATTGCATGCATATTGCACAGTACCAAATAAAGCAGAAAAAAAAAAAAAAACATATATATATAACTTTAACAGTTGTAACTGGTCTATATCGAGGATCCTTGCTAAAGGAGATTGGGTTGGGTCCCGATAAAACTCTGAAATGTCTAAGTAAAAGCATGATGATTTTGATCCTATATCGAGGATCCTTGCTAAAATACATGGATATGAATCCTGATGATATTAGTATCCAATTAGTACATATGATCTTGATTCGAGAGCCGATACACATACAACCATTGTATGTTGTCCCTACATACATACAACACCATTAGAAATTTGACACATCAACTAAACATGGGAGAAAATTAGGAGTCAAATATAAATTGAATTTAATGGGACTTGTGCCTATTATTTTAATCAATAGAAACATTACAAATTAGAGTTGTATGTAGGGACCACATACAACAATTGTATGATGTAGCCTTACCAATTCATATGTTGTCATTTTATTTAACACTCCCACGTCTATGAATATTGTTGCGTGCAGCCCAAATTCTCATAGCCGGGTGTTTTGGTGGAGTATATGTCCGTGTTGAAGAAGCTACCAAATAAGACAAACATTTGTCGTTTGAAATATGAATATTATTTATTGTAATGTTAAATAATATTATTAGTTCATTTGTTCACATAATTATATGACCATAACGTAGAAAGTATTTGTTCTCTTTCCTCATGATCCTCACATTTATTATTTAGCAATGCTCTAATCAAGCATCGTAATAATTAATTCTCCTATAAATCACCCTATATATACAATATCACCCTATATATTTCTCCTAAATCTCCGTGTAAATGTAGTGTATTACTACAGAAATTGAGGGAGTTATATATAGTGGTTAGAAATGAATTTGTATGTAAATTTATAAAGAAAATTTTATCTCATTCTCATGGCAATGCTAAATTTATAAAGAATTTGTGTATGTCATATATATAATGAATTTGTCCCTTTGAGTTTGGATAATATATATTATATATAGATTTGCATACCAAAGTGATATGTCAACTTGTAGGATGTAAAGACTAAGAGCCATACAAAGTGAATAGATAACCAAATGTGCCCATAACACGAGTAGTGACATGAGTTTGGTTGGGTGGTGAAGTCCAACCCACAGGGCTTGGGGGTGGATGAAGGAGGAAAACATGGAACTACTTCGTCTGTCATTCATTGCGAGGTTTGGGCTTGCCTTGAAGCAATGAAGTGGGCTAGGACAAAGGGTAGACAGAGTATTCTTCTGCTCTCAGACTCTACTTCTCTTTTGCATAACTTGCAGGATAACAGTGGTAAGGAGATTTCGATCAACTGGGTGCTTAAGGAACTAAGGGAAGTAGGGAGCTCGTTTCAAAGATGTACAATCCTAAAGGTTCATAAGGATCAGGTTAAAAGGGCAAACGACATTGCTAAGGAATGTCGTGTTATCCTTTCTAACCTAATGTAGTTTTCTTCTTGTTCCTTTGCTATTGTTTAAAAAAAAAAAAACATGAGTTTGATCAGTAGGCACAAGTCTTGAAGTTCCAAAATCTAAAAGTATGTTTGAGGATTTGACGTCCCTATGAAAGATAGGAATTAAAGATAAATGATGCAATTAGGCTAGTGCTCCAGCCAAGTCAGAAGCAATCTGCAAACGCATTTTCCAGGTGATCGGTAACTCTAAACTTGGATAATGAATATGATGAAAAAGGGTTCCGTTAGGAATAAACTCGAAGACCAGTAATGGCACTTCAGTCTCCAAACAACTTCCTAACAACTTCCCATTTTTGCTACATTTGACACTATAGATAGATATTTATTGCTGGTGTAATATTATAGAAACATCCCTCTCCTATACCAAATGGGTATGGAATGGTAACGTTGCCACATTTTTCAGTTGTGAGCCACCAGAAGCAACTGATGATAGACATACTAAAGCAACAACAACTGCCCAAAATAGAGCCAAAATATGTAGCAACATTCTTATAGCTAGCTTTGTTGTGATTTTATTTTTTGAGTGAAGATGAATGCTCTCTTTTTTTTTTTTTTTTTTTTTTTCTTTCAAATAAATCTTACAATTCTATGGCTTAATTAGCGTAGTTTGTGTATGATAAGCTAGATAGAGTGGATAAGTATTTAATAATGCATTGTAATGGATGTTATAGCTAATGGACTGCATATATAACTTTCATATGTTTTTTCTAAACCACACATATGAAAGTTACTTTGATGATTGTAAGAGATCGACTTTTATATCATCAAAGTAACTTTCATATGTGTGGTTTAGAAAAAACATATGAATCAAATATCTCAACAATTATTGCATGCATTATTATTATTAACAGTAGTAAATGTAAAGCAGCGAAAAAAGATGTAGCTTTGCCAGTTAATACTGGTCTACTTGTTGGGACAATAATAATATTTACTTTATTCCAAATAATTGTTTCCCATTGGGTTTTTAGCTCTAAAATATCTACTCGTAAGTATTAGCATAATGATCTTGGTCCGATTTCAATTGTGGATCCTAGGCTAAAAAACTTGGATATAATAAATTCGGATATTTGGTTTAGATAAGGTTAATGCTTGCATATAATAAATCAAATAAGGTTAATGCTTGCACTTAATTTTTCTAGATTTATGTAGGTAAAATTGGTATAAATTACCTTTTTTGTCCAATTTTTTTTGAAAAAAACCACCTTTTACGTTTTTTTTGTTTACTTTACCACCTTTTAAGTACGTAAATTTTTTATTGCACCAGCTCTATTTCAAATCTAACCGATTGTACCTCAACCATACACTTCCAAATCATCAACCTCAACAAAATCTTCCCTTCCATCTCAACCATCCACTTCAATTACCTCAATTTAGGGTTTGAAAATAAACATATACTATAATTTAATTTTTTTAGCAAAATTAGATTTGGTTTTTTAGAGTTTTAGTCAATTTAGTCATGCATTTATATAAAGGGAAGGGTCAATGTCAAATCAGAGGCAAATTAATATGAATATAATTATCTGTATTCTTCTCTTTGATATTCACGGCCAAAAACATGTATATATACTACTAGGGTAACAAACCAAACCCCAATATTCTACCATATCTTTTCACAAGATATATTTCCTAAAATATATCACAATAATATCTCCAATACCCCCCTCAAGTTGGAGCATACGGGTCACAAATGCCCAACTTGCGGAGTAAAAATTCAAACTTGACCTTTCCCAAAGCCTTTGTGAAAATGTCAGCCAACTGAAGCGTCGTAGGTACATATGACGGTTTTATGAGACCTTCTGCTATGGCGTCCCTGACAAAATGACAATCGGCTTCAATATGTTTCGTTCTCTCATGAAACACCGGATTCTTCGCAATGTATAATGTCGATTGACTGTCACAATAGAGGTGCATGCCACTCTCATGTCGCACACCTAAATCTCTCAAAATCCGCTTTAACCACTTCAACTCACGAGTACAAGAAGACATGGACCTATACTCTGCCTCTGCAGAACTCATAGCTACTGTGGGCTGTTTCTTGGTTTTCCACGACACGGGAGATAATCCAAGAAACACAAACCAACCTGTCAACGATCTCCGAGACAAAGGACAACTCGCCCAATCCGAATCACACCATCCTTCTAACTGTAGAGCACTATCAGACCTAAGCAGAATACCTTGACCTGGACTCTTCTTCAAGTATCTCACAACTCGCAAGGCAGCATCCCAATGCTCTACCCTCGGACTCTGCATAAATTGAGATAAAATAGGCACAGAATAGGTCAGGTCCGGCCTAGTGACAGCTAAATAAATCAAACGTCCTATGAGACGTCTATACCTTTCGACATCATGAAAAAAATCACCTTCCGCCAGAGCTGGCCTGTGGTTTTGCTCCATAGGAAAATCGGCTGGTTTTGCATCAAGTAACCCTGTTTCAGTAATAATGTCTAAGGCATACTTCTTCTGACACATGAAAATCCCCTGTTTGTTTCTGGCTATCTCTAGCCCCAAAAAATATTTCAACACACCCAAGTCCTTCATCTTGAAACAATCACCTAGATATGCCTTGAATGACAACAAGGCAGTTTTATCGTTCCCTGCAACAATTAAATCATCGACATAAACTAGCACATTAAGTTGCATTTTCCCTCGTGTCAGAGTAAAAAGAGAATAATCATAGTATGACTGTTTAAAGCCATAATTCTTCAAAGCCGTCGTCAATTTTGCAAACCAACACCGAGGAGCTTGCTTCAAGCCATACAATGACTTGTTCATCCTGCACACTTTCCCTAAGATTATTTTTGTTAAAACCAGAGGGAATTTTCATGTATACCTCTTCCTCTAAGTCGCCATGTAAGAAGGCATTGTGAACGTCCATCTGATGTACTTCCCAATTCTTCACTGCTGGAACCGCAAGAAAAGTACGAATTGTCACCATTTTGGCTACCGGAGCAAATGTCTCATTATAGTCTAGGCCTTCAACCTGATGATTGCCAAATATGACTAGTCTAGCCTTCAATCTTTGAAGATTCCCGTGCTCATCATACTTTTCTTTGTAAACCCATTTACTCCCTAGTGCCTTCTTACCACGGGGTAAGTCCACTAGTTCCCACGTGCCTTGATCCTCAAGTGCCTGAATCTCATCAGCCATGGCCTTTCTCCATCCTTCATGTCGCATAGCTTCCTTGAAATTTTTCGGCTCATTACCACCTGTAATCGCTGCAATATAGTGTCTATGTTTTGCAGAAAATCGGTGAGAATCAACAAAATGTGTTATGGGATAAACAGTACCTGAAGGAGGTGACGTGGATGAACGATGATGCGTGGATAGACTTTTATTCCGAATAGTGTGAGTCACATAATCTCGAAGCTTGACCGAACGATATTTTTCTCTTTTTCCTTTACCCATATCGTCCCCATTCTCCATATACTCAAGGTCTGCCGACTCACGGATTTGCTGCGGAGTAGAGGCCTGTTCTTCACTGTTCGGGGACACAGCAGGCTCACCTTGAGGCTGCCCATGCTCGCTGGAATCCAGTGAGGCCAAACCAGCGTGCGCTGGTGACCCAGCGAGCTGTGCAGAGCTGCTGGCAGTCCCAGCCACGGGGTGGCCGCGGTCTCCTGTGCTTTGCCACGGGCTGGCCGTGGACCCTTCTGCCTTGGTGGTTTCGGCAGCATACTCAAGCATCTCTTCATGCTGCACTGACTCCCTCCCTTCTTCCATACTCCATTCATCATCACTCACACAATCAGCCATATGTTGCACATAGGTAGGCCGTGAAATATCATTGCCAGCAGAAATTTTAAATGGGAACTCATGTTCAACAAATTTAACATCTCGTGATACTAAGGTCTCATTAGTCTCCAAGTCGAACACCCTCCAACCTTTCTTACCAAATGGGTATCCTATAAATACACAACGTCGACTTCTACTAGCAAATTTATCCCCCTTACTGCGTTGATTATGAGCATAACACAAGCATCCAAAAACTTTTATATGTTCATACATAGGAGATTTACCAAACAACACCTCAAATGGAGTCTTAAAATCAAGCAATCTAGAAGGAGTACGGTTTATCAAATGACAAGCCGCTTGCACACATTCCCCCCAAAATTTAAGAGGTAAATTAGCTTGAAATCTCAAAGCCCGGGCCACATTAAGAATGTGTTGATGCTTACGCTCAACACGACCATTTTGTTGAGGCGTACCCACACACGAAGTCTCAAATATTATCCCATTAGTAAAAAAATATTCTTTCAAAGAATTAAATTCCGTCCCATTATCACTACGAACAATTTTGATCTCATACCCAAATTGACGTTTAATTAAAGCAACAAAATTGAGAAACATCAATTCAACTTCAGTTTTATTGCGTAATAAATACGTCCACACACCTCTAGAAAAATCATCTACATTGTTAAAAAATAATGGGAACCACAAGTTGACGCGGTCTTATAAGGACCCCACAAATCAACATGAATAAGTTCAAACAAATGACTAGCTTTATTTTTGCTTAAGGGAAAACTACTCCTATGATGTTTTGCCCGAGGGCATACATCACAAGTTTTAGGACTTCTATTAGAACCACTCATAACAGGAAGATGTTGAAAAACCTTCCCGGAAGGATGCCCCATTCGTTGATGCCACAACTCTGCCGATCGATCCCCATCTATCTTCAAAGCTTTCACCTCAGGAACACCACGGAAATAATAAAGTCCATCCACTCGTTCACCCGCTCCAATCACCTTCCTCGTCGTTAGGTCCTGTATAACACAAAGTTTGTTAGTAACTTGCATAGTGCAATTTGATTCATCACATAATTGCGTCGCGGATATTAAATTGCAATTTAATTGAGGTACAAAAAGAACATTATCAATTTTCAAACCCCCTTGCAAAATCACGGAGCCGATTTTAGAAGCATAAGCACTTTTTCCATCCGGTAGTCCTACCGGACAATGTGGCACATTAGAAACATTCGTCAAAAGAGACAAATCACAAGTCACGTGGTTGGATGCGCCGGTATCAACGATCCAACCCAATTGATCCTTACCATGAAGCTTATTTTTCACAGAAGAAAGATGATCAAGAATCTGCTGTATTTGTGCCGGTGTCACCCCCGAAAGAGCAGCCCCATCAGAAGTTGTGCTCCTGCTGTTTGGGGTGGTCTGTGACCCACTTTGACCCCCTGTCTTGTGTGCTCGGACCTGAGCAGCAGGCACTGCCACGCCCGCCTCGGCCCCCGCCTTTGCTGCCTCCAAAATCACCACGGCCCCGTCCTCTACCTCCACGACCACGGTCACCCCACCATGAAGGATAACCGTTCAATTGAAAACAGTCAGACTCCTCATGTCCTACTCTGTTGCAATGGTTGCAAAATAGCTTCGAAGTATCACTCGAACGCGGTGGCTTTGTAGAGGAATCATGCTGAACTTTAAACGCCATAGCACTATCACGAGCCGCAGTAGTAGACACGGCTGATTCACTCCCCTTCAAGCGTTCTGCTTGAATAATTTGCTGATATGCTTTATCCACAGTAGGTAAAGGATCTTGTGCTAGAAGCTGACCCTTAATCGAGCTATATGTGTCGTCTAGCCCAATTAGAAAATGGTGCACAAAATCCTCCTGGCGCAATTTCTCAACTTGTGCTACAATATTGCAAGTGCAAGCACCACACTTACAAATAGGTACAGCAAAGTAGGTGTGCAATTCATCAAAATTTTTTGATATTCTTCCAAAATAAGCAGCAACCGACTCAGAAGCAGCCTGCTTACATTCACTCAAAGCCGACTTCAATTGACAAATTCGGGTTCCACTCACAACACAAAACCTATTTTTGAGATTAGTCCACAACAATTGAGCATCATCATACTCACCAATGGTAGCCCTCACTGATGAGTCCAAGGTATTAGTAATCCAAGCAACCAACATCGCATGAATAGCCACCCAATCGTCCAATTTATCACTATCAGTTGGTTTTGCGATTGAACCATCAATAAAGCCGTATTTCCGCTTTGCTTTCAACGAAGTCCTAATTGCCCTCGCCCACTCATCATAATTCTCACCTCGAAGTTGAATCGGAGTAATAATATTTCCCGGACCATCACTCGACCCTAAGTGATAAGTCATGTCAACCTTAACTTTCCCTCCATCGCCACCACCACCGGACCCTGAAGCACCGCCAGTCATAAAAAATTTAGGTACTTAAAAGATGGTTTATAATACTATAGAACATTATGACAGTGGAACTCGTGGAAGCTTTTACATATTACTAGCATGTGCAAGCCTACATGAAATCAGTTGACTTGGTACATATAGGAGTATAGGACTAACGGACTATAGATATAGTGTCGTGGTGGATATGACCAGCTCAAATTTCATCGAGAGTTTGAGTGATTGACAAAAATTAGGCCCTTCAAAAGAAACAGGGGATTAAAAAAAATAAAGGAAATAGGCTTATACATGATAATGTTCTTCAATTATACATAATACGGATTACAAGATTGAAGATATATGCATCATCTAGGATTGAATAAAAGAGAAGCCTCAACAGAATTTACAGACTTGCTTAACAAATAAAATGTGGTAGAGCTGGAAGCACAATCACTGAATGAACCTTGGATTGCTCCGTTAACAAATACTTTATCAGGTTTTGGTGTTTTGGGTTCATTCATTTGTGGCAAATGAAGTGACAAAACTGCCTCTATCTCAAATAGCACTTCTTTCATGGAAGGTCTTCTCTTTCCATCCAAGTTTAGACATCGCTTTGCCAAAGTAGCAATCCTGTGTAACTCTTCCTTACAATCTTCTTGTAGGACGTACTTGAAAATCTATAATATCAAGCAGACGGGAGTTTTCCATATGTGAAAGGAACCATGATGTTAAACTTCTATCTTGCTCTGATATAGCACGTACTGCCTTTTGTCCTGTTAAAAGCTCAACGAGGACAACACCAAAACTGTAAACATCACTCTTTTCGGTAAATTGGTTAGATTGAAAGTACTCTGGATCCAAATAACCGAATGTGCCCATAACACGAGTAGTGACATGAGTTTGATTAGTAGCCACAAGTCTTGAAGTTCCAAAATCTGATAACTTTCCCCTATACTTTTCATCTAAAAGTATGTTTGAAGATTTTATGTCCCTGTGGAAGATAGGGATTGAAGATGAATAATGCAAATAGGCAAGTGCTCCAGCCGAGTCAGAAGCAATTTGCAAACGCATCTTCCAGGTGATTGGAAACTCTTCACTTGGATAATGAATATGATGAAAAAGGGTTCCGTTAGGAATAAACTCAAATACTAGTAATGGAACTTCCGTCTCCAAACAACATCCTAACAACTTCACTATATTCTTGTGATTAATCTGTGATAAGATGGCTACTTCATTGATGAATTCCCTCATTTCGCTTTCCTCTAATTTCTTTGACTTCTTCACGGCGACAATCTTCCTTTCCCCCAACATTCCCTTATAGACAGTCCCATGGCCTCCTTGTCCAAGGATTCTATCCTCACTAAATTGATCGGTGGCTTTTTGTAGCTCAGCAATAGTGAAGATTTTTGTTCTTTCTACAACTCCTTCACCCAAAGACATTTGTTGTTGCTGCAACAACAAACCGCCATTTTTCTCAAAATATAAAGCTCTTTGCTTGATAGCTTGTCTTCTTTTGACCAGTTTATATAACCAGCATCCCACGAGAAACAAAAGTATTGATCCTAAGGTTACACTTAGTCCTGCAATTCACAGATTAAGTACACAATAAATAGAATCAATCAATTTTATACGAAGTATTTAATTGAGAAAGAGAGAGAGAGTTTAAAAGAACTAGTAACACGTTAACACCAAGCCTCTAAGTTGATCTTCAAAACCTTTTATATCTTTATTTCACGACTATATATATGTTAAAACATGTGAGAGTTATTGCTCCATCCCTTAATTGTTGTATGATTAAGGCATATACAATTAATTTTTTCCTTTACAAGTTTCGGTGATTGAAGAAATGAGAAAGAAAATTGGTGGGACTGAAAAATTGATTTTGTGAGAGTAAAATAGTGGTTTCAAATTTGAATAGCCATTTATAAAACGGATTAATGGAATGATGCAAATTTAAAGAGACAATCCTAAAAGGATGGATAGTGGAGCAAACTATTGGGTACGAGGGACTATTTTGTAACCTTTTGATATCTAACAAGTTCTATCGAAAATAGTAAAAATATAATTTTATTGCTTAGCTTGTTCTTGTATATAGTAGTGTGGAGTGGACAAGTATGCATTGCCTTAAATTGTACTTCGGTGCAAAACTAGTCCAAAATGACCGCGTCAAAGTCTTCTCGTCAATCTCTTACAATTATGTACATATTGTACCATTAGTTTATGTGGTTATAAAACGAACATGTCATATGATTCTATCTAGATAATTATTAATTTCCTCATTCATGTTATCAAGTGAAGACATGGAGTAAATGAGTACTAACTTTCTCCTCTTAGCTTAGTTTTCTTACTTATCTACCGGGCTAGGGCTAGGGCTAGGGCTAGCTAGATAGTGACCAGACTACACTACTCTCAAATAATTGTTGCATACATAGTTTTACTTTTCTAAATGCATAAATGCAACAATTACTGTCTTTAATTCCCGGTAAGTAAAAGTTACAAAATCGATAATATCAACACAAGTTTGATAAGATTTCACGTGACTCGTGAAAGTTTTTACATATTACTAGTTAGCATGTGCAAGCCTACATGAGATCAGTTGACATAGTTGACTTGGTACGTATAGGACTCTAAATGTAGTGTCGTGGTGGATACGACCAGCTCCGATTTAGTAAAGAGTTTGTATGATTAACAAAAATTAGGCCCTTCAAAGAAAAACAGGAAAACAAAACGGAAAGGGAATAGGCTTATACACGATAATATTATTCAATTTTATCATAATACAACGACCCTAGATTGAAAATCTCTGCATCATCTAGGATTGAATAAAAGAGAAGCCTCAGCAGAACTTAAAGACTTGCCTGGCAAATAAAATGTGCTAGAACTTGAAGCACAATTGATGAATGAACCATTGGTTGCTCCATGGACAAACACTTGATCAGGTTTTGGTGTCTTTGATTCATTCATTTGTGGTAAATAAAGTGACAAAAATGCCTCTATCTCCAGTAGCACTTCTTTCATGGAGGGTCTTCTCTTTCTATCTAAGTTTAAACATCGCGTTGCCAAGTTAGCAATTATGTGAAACTCTTCCTTACTATCTTCTTGCAGGACTTGAGAATCTATGATATCAAGTAGATGAGAGTTTTCCATATGTGAGAGGAACCATGATGTTAAACTTCTATCTTGTTCTGATATAGCACGTATTGCCTTTTGTCCTGTTAAAAGCTCAACGAGGACAACACCAAAACTATAAACATCACTTTTTTCGGTAAATTGGTTGGTTTGAAAGTACTCCGGATCCAAATAACCAAATGTGCCCATAACACGAGTAGTTACATGAGTTTGATCAGCATCAACAAGTCTTGAAGTTCCAAAATCTGATAACTTTCCCCTGTACTTTTCATCTAAAAGTATGTTTGAAGATTTGATGTCCCTATGAAAGATAGGGATTGAAGATGAATAATGCAAATAGGCAAGTGCTCCGGCCAAATCAGAAGCAATTTGCAAACGCATTTTCCAAGTGATCGGAAACTCTTCACTTGGATAATGAATATGATGAAAAAGGGTCCCATTAGGAATAAACTCGAAAACTAGTAACGGAACTTCCGTCTCCAAACAACATCCTAACAACTTCACAATATTCTTGTGATTAATTTGTGATAGGATAGCCACTTCATTGATGAATTCCCTCATTTCACTTTCCTCTAATCTCTTCGACTTCTTCACGGCGACAATCTTTCCTTCGCCCAACATTCCCTTATAGACCATCCCATGGCCTCCTTGTCCAAGGATTCTATCCTCACTAAAGTGATCAGTGGCTTTCTGTAGCTCAGCAACAGTGAAGATTTGTGTTCTTTCAACAACTCCTTCACCCAAAGACATTTGTTGTTGCAACAACAATCCACCATTTTTCTTGAAATATATAGCTCTTTGCTTGATAGCTTGTCTTCTTTTTATCAGTTTATATAACCACCAACCAACGAGAAACAAAAGTATTGATCCTAAGGTAAGACTCAGTCCTACAGTTAAAATAAAGCACACGACAATTATTACCAATTATTTAAACCAGTCTATTTAAAGCACACGACATCAGAAATGGATAAGTAGTAACACACTTATTAACAGCACACCCAAGAATCCAAGGTGAACTTCAATAGCAAATTTAAATTGTCATCAATCATAATAAAATTATGGTATAAAATGTACTAATTTAGCATGAGATGTCACATAAAGTCATAAGGTTAGACGACTAATATATATACTATCTCTGTTTCTTATTATTTGCAACAAAGTAATATTTTATGTCTCACAAATAATACCCCTTTGTTGCAGATAATAAGAAACGGAGGTAGCATATATATTTTTACAGGTAGTTGGTAGCTTTTTTATATACAACAAGTTCCCCCTAAAATTGGAAAAGACGCCCCTAATATATATCCTTGATAATAACAAATCCTAAATATGAACAAGAATAATAGTTAGGCAAACGTACACATACCTACTAACAGTTTGTATCGGTCGCTTAGATCACTAGAGATACAATGATAACTTCCAAGTGTGTTGACACAATATGCTGGGAATTTACACACATTTCTGTCGAGCGCACATTCATCAATATCTAAAAAAATGTACACATCCAACATATATGAGTCTCTTAATTAATTTTCAAAATCATATTAATAACAAACATAACCTTAAGGTAGAATTTGCAAAATGCTTTACATACCTTTGCAATCATGAAGGTAGGGATTACCCTCGAATCCAGGCTTGCATTGGCAGCGATATCCCTTCTTAAAGTCAAGGCACACGCTATTTCCCTTGCAAATGTAATTCTGACCTGCTTGTGCAGTTTTACAATCTTCCGTTCCAATAATTGACCAATCGTAAACAACAGGAAGCCGCAACTTCTGGAAGAAAGAAACGTCTTTGGACAGAAAGTGCGCAACATTAGAGGGTATAGCTTCATTTGCGACCACAAATGCAACACTACACGGGTTGAAATCCACCACTCTCTTATGATCATTGAAACTGCGAGCCGTTATGCTGACTAAGGTTACTCCATCAGGAATCAAGGCCTTGCAACAGCCAAACCCAGAGCATACATTATTTTTACTAGCACTGAAAATCTTTGCTTGTTTTTTGTCACACAGAGTCATACACCCTGAACGAATCTTTGTTGTTTCATTTGTTCGCCAATCAGCACCAACAAACCATACGTATGTATCACACCCCAACGCGACAAGAGAATTTTGGGTCAATGAAAATGTGAACCCATTATTATATAAACTGCTGTTAGTTGCGTTATATATAGTATGATCCATGATCTGCCCATTTGTACTATGATAGGCATAGCAATCATATGCTACGGGGTGACGTACCCAAATTTCACCATCTAAAGTTATCTTGTCTACCTCTGCATCACCTAAATATGTTGTAGGAGGATCTGTACTGTCGCTGCAATGGAGACTATAGATATTAGTGTCAAAACCATTAGTTGCAGTTATACTATCATAAAAACATCCATCTTTTATGCCAAATGGGTAAGGAATGGATAGGTTTCCACACTTTTCGGGGCAATTCGGAAGGGTTGTTTGTGAGTGAGCACCAGATGCAGCTATAGCTGCCCACAATACAGCAAAAATATGTAAAAACATTCTTATACCTTTGCTGTGCTTGTTTTCTGTGCGAATGAAAGATGTATGCTGTTTTTTTTATTTATTTATTCTAGGTGCAAGTGTGCAACAGGCCAACAGTAGTCCAAATAGACTGCGTCAAAGTCTTCTCGTTAATCTCTTACAACTTTCTAAGTACCAATGCACCGTTTGTTTTTGTGGTTAACAAACGTACATATGATTCAAGTATCTAGATAACTATTGCCTTATGTTACGGAGTAATAACATTCTCCTTTTGATAGTACATGTCTTAATAGTGACAAAACTTTCTCTCAAATAGTTGTTGCAGACTTGCAGATATGGTTTTATGTTTCTAAATGCATGACAAATCTATCTCCAATTCTCGGTAGGTAATAAAAACTACCTCCGATTTGTATTACATGCAACTTTGGTATTTTTTATATCTTACAAATAATACACCAAAGTTACATATAATAAGACTTAGATGTAAAAAAATTGATGTCTTAATTTTTAATTTTTTTTTTATTATTATTATTGTTTTCTTATTTATTTATTATTTTTTGATAGGTTACATTTTTCAACATACAACTTCAATCCATTCTCAAAATCTTTGATTTTCTATCAACAAAAACTATTAAAATTGGTACAAAGCATTATAAAAGATTGTGATTGTTCCAACAATATACTTAGCTTGTATATGTTAAATACTGTAATATATACGAAGTATATATATATTAGCTAATACTGCAAAAAATTAAACCAAAAGTCAAATTATCTAAATGACCCTAGTTTAGATTTTTGCAATAGTTTATAAACCAAAAGTCAAAATAGTTTGTTTTTTGCAAATAATTACTTGTGCATACTATGTGAATATTTGATTCAATACTTTGATTTTGGCAATAGTTTGATTTTGGCAATAGTGTGATTTTTTATAAAAGTCAATAGTTTGAATTTTTATAAAATCAAACCAAAAGTCAAGTAAGTATTGCAAAAATCTAACTTTTATAAAATCAAACCAAAAATCCAGTAACTATTATAAAATCAAACTAGTGGAAGACCCTATTTTAGACTTTTATAAAATAGTTACTCCTGCGAAAACAAAGATTTAGTCCAAAAAAAGCTCTAAAATAGCTAATAAAGAAATATGAAAGCATGAGGATCTAGGTCTGATACTGAGTTCATATTAATCAACATAACTCAAATTGTAGATTGCATATGAACGAATGTAATGCATACAGAAGGGAAACATAACAGGGTTTAAGACATATCAGTTGGGTATATCTCTTGATATAGCTTTTACGCTACTAACCAGTAACCAAGAGATGAAGAGAAATTATATAATAGATTTGCGGAAACAAAAAATCTGAAAAAACTCATAACAGAGCACTTCAAAATAGACAGCATGAAGGAAAAATAAAATTTACATGAAACAAAATAGAGGGGTTTATTTTCTAAACAGACAGGCCAGGCCTCGCCCTGGGTGATCCTTCATGTATTTTTAGCAGGCAGGGTGAGCCCTTAGTAAGTCAGCTCTTTACAGGTTTCAAGTGAGGCCGAGCCTTTATATGTTTGTTTGCAAGGGAGAACCAGAAAGTACTCCGTATAATGTAAGAAAAAGAACTCGAGAAGAAGAAACATCACGAGAAGAGGAGTGAAAAGTACCTTGGCAGTCATGAAGGTAAGGGTCTCCCTGAAACCCTGGGTTGCATTGCAGCGGTATCCATCCTGGTATTGCTTCCCATAATTATTGCCATTTCCCCAGCACATGTACATTCCAGCAGTGATAGGTATCATCTTGGCTAAAGACTAAGAACCTAACCAAGTGACCAATCTTGGTTAAAATTAAAGTTCTGGTAATAGGGATCACTATCATCTTTGGTTAAGATCTGTCTGATAGAATACGGTGGTGCATTACCTGCAGCATGATCCTTAGCCAACACAAAGGCGACACTGCACGGGTTGAAGTCTTGCACCAACCGACCTACTGGTCACTCGGACAACTAAATGTTAAATCGGTATTGTTTACTCCATTTGGATGGAAACCAGGCAGGCAGGCAACAGCCAATGCCAGAGCATGATCTAGTAAAAACATCTTCAGGTGCAGCACACAGTCATGCACCCAGAACGGAACACTCTCTTGTTTACTGTGCCATTCAGCACCACTCAGAGAATTTTATCTCATTCTTATGGTGCTGCAACTTCAGCAAAAAAAAAAAAAAAAAAAAAAAAAAAAAAAAAAAAAAAAAAAAAAAAAGGTTTTTTTCCCACTTCAAAAATCTCCACCCTTCCCATAGTGGAACTATTAGGTCCTCTTTCTTCACGTCATACCACACAATGACCACATAATTTTCCTTACAATCACACCATCACTATTTTCTCCGTCCCTATATTCACTTTCATTTTGCTGGGTTTGACTTTTATTAACCAAGTAATACATTTTCCTCAATCCAAGCATACCATTAGTGGAGATTTTTTTTTTTTTTTTTTCTCGGAAGAAAACCCCGAATTTTCTCGGAAGAAAACACTAATCTACAAAACTGTGTTGAATTATTGTATGATATAACTAGGACACAAGTTGGGGTAGGCTAAGGAGACCTTGATATAATTGACTAGGTATAGGACTATACATAGTGCCATAGTAGGCAGGGCCAACTCGAATTTCATCAGGGATTAATGTGATTGACAAAAGAATTAGGCCCTCTGGGAAGGGGAAAAGAAAGGCAAGCAAATAAATTTAAGATCAGCTCAATCTATACACGCTATGAATGGAGTACAAAATTGAAGATATCTGCATCATCTAGTATTAAATAGTAGAGACTCTTCAGCAGAATTTAGAGACATACTTTCCAAAGAAAATGTGCAAGAACCCGAAACATAATCGTAGCGTGAACTTTTCATTGCTCCAGCAAACACTCGTTCAGATTGTTGTCTATTTGGTTCATTCATTTGTGGTAAATGAAGTGATAAGACTGATTCTATTTCTAGTAGTACTTCTTTCATCGCAGGTCTTCTCTTTCCATCCAAATCTAAACAACGCATTGCAAGATTAGCAACTTTGAGAAACTCTTCCTTCAAAGCGTCTTGCAGGACTTGAACATCAATTATATCAAGCAGAGTAGAGTTTTCCATATGAGAAAGGAACCATGATGTCAAACTTCTATCCTGCTCCAAGTCTTCCAGCGTAGCACGTACTGCCTTTTGTCCCGTTAATAGCTCAACTAAGACCACACCAAAACTATAAACGTCACTCTTTTCAGTAAAATGACTGGATCGAAAGTACTCGGGATCCAAATAACCAAAAGTTCCCATAACACGTGTAGTTATATGAGTTCTATTAGTAGCCACAAATCTTGAAGTCCCAAAATCTGACAACTTTGCTCTGTACTTTTCATCAAGAAGTATGTTGGAAGGTTTGATGTCCCTATGAAAAATGGGAATAGAAGACGAAGAGTGTAGATAAGCGAGAGCTCCAGCTGAATCAGAAGCAATTTGTAATCGCATTTTCCAAGTGATTGGAAACTCTTCACATGGATTATGAATATGATGGAAAAGTGTTCCATTGGGGATAAACTCATAAACTAGTAATGGGACTTCTGTCTCCAAACAACATCCCAACAACTTCACTATATTCCTATGGTTAATTCGTGATAAAATTACCATTTCATTGATGAATTCCCCCACTTGGTTTTCTTCCTCCACTATATTAGACTTCTTGATGGCAACAATACTTAGAAATAGATGATTCTTGCACTTGCACATTTCAGAAACAGTGTAAAAGGTCCTAATATGAAGTCATATATGCAAGCTGACATTAGCAAGAAGTTCAGAAGCAATTCGTGTAATAACTAGAATTATTCATTTTGCCAAGTCAGGTAGTTTGTTAGCTTAGCTTGTACTAATTGTTCCAAGTATCTTCTTCTATACTCTACTCCTCTGTAATAAGATTAACTAGCTGTAGATCTTTCTCTTGTCTTTTTTTTTTTTCAATTTGACAAATACTTGTAAAAAAACAAAAAAACACTCTGAATCATAATAGGGAAACTGAGCTGCAAGTGATGGCAATGGAAGATTTAAGATTGAATCAACCATATCAGCGTTCCCAAGGAGATCAGTTAAACTTCACACACTTAAATCTTTTCAGGCTTAATTACCTGCAGAGGTTATTTTGTTTTCTCGTTAATTTGCATTCTAAGCAACTTCCTATGCAACTAAACCAAAATCTGTTCTTGATTAAAATTGTAACATCAATGAGAGACTACTGTGGAATTAACTGTATGTTAATTGACTTTCCACCAATTTGTTCTTGGTTGTTCTTGTAACATCACTGAAAACTCAGCAACAATTATAAAGCAGTATGAAAGAGGCAATATCCTGATGACTTCCTATACCTATTATCATCTTGTTATTCATTAACAGAGACATAGTGAGTCAGCAGCAACAGCTACTTTTCAAGGCAAGGGATAAACAATCCTGGGTATTCTAGCAAGAGTTCTATGAACTTCAGGGTAGCAAGGTCATACACTCATACCATACCAGCGGACAAAGATTCAACATTGGCAGTAGACAGACAATTGCAAATATTTCTGTAATTATTGTAATATTCCAACACAGAACATTGACCGGGGTTAGAAAGTCTATGAATATCCAAACAGGTTTGACAAGACCAAAAAATTGGCTACATAAGCTTAGGGCATAAATCCTGGAAATGTAACTTCAACCAACACAGCTCTTATAACAACCCATTACCATCAGGGATCAGCTTATGCAGTTGCTAAATAAACAAAGTAATGGCTCAGACAACATGGATAATGCAAGCTGAATACAAATCTATTGCAGCAACAGCTTCTTGATTACTTGGGTGGTCCGAGTACTGGAGGAACTTTGTGTGACTAATCTCAGGCTCAAAAACTTCAGATTGTAACAGTCAGTTAACATTATATATAGCCAAGAATCTACGACAGGATAATGCACATTGAGCTTAATTGCCAGTATACCAGAAAAAAAAGAGCTACTTTTTTTTTTTTTTTTTTTGTTATTCTGTGAATGGAGCAGAGCTGCAAGAGGCTGCAATCAAGGATCTATTTTCTTTTTTTTTTTTTTGCATTCTTTTAGCTAAAGATTTTAACACAGAATCCAAGGTTATCGTTTATAGAATAACCCCTTGTGTGCAATTGAAATACTCCTACAAATGTAATCATAAGTATATAATCCATATTTCAAATTTAAATCTGACAAATGACAATAGAACCAGAGGAACATATAATTCTAGCAAGGAAATTCATTCACTAGTTCAAACATTTTTGTCATGTCATAACAATATCCCACATTTTGAAATATAGAAGAATAATCTAGTCTCCAACTATTTCAAGATATAGTGCTCCCAAGCTCTCTAATGGTAATTTGTGGTTGGTGCACCCAAAAGAACGTTTAGTATATTTAAAAGAACATGGGTAAAAAAATGAACATGTTTTTATTTTCTTGCAACTGCAAATCCATCACTCTCTTCTCCTGCAATTTCTCACTCCTCTTTCCCTTCCTATCACTCTCTTTTTTGCTGCCTATTTTTACTCTCCTTTACACCATCGTTTTCATTTAAGAATTTCAATGAATTTGGGTAAAAATCATTTCCAAAGTACTCATTTTCTCTCTCCATAACTTTTCTCTCTATCTTTTTCTATTTTTCAAAAAAAATTCAAAATAGCAAAATTGTTCATCTTCAAAGTGAAACCCAAGAAAAAAATTGAACTTATTTCAACAATTCAACCTTCAAACTTAAACAAATGGTGGATTCAAGTAAAATGTAAGTATAAATTTTGTACATGCAAATTGTTTTTCGTCAATAATTTTAAAGTTAAAGTGTTTAATTTTGTGAATTTGGGGTATTTTTTAAAAAAAAATAATAAAAAAATAAAGCTATAAAGTACAAGTTGTTCAAAAAAGAACAATTAGAGGAGAAAGAAGAATAGTAATGAATTGAAGCCAACCGGAAGATAACCAAGCAAGGTTAATTTTTCAAACCCTAGCTTGTTCTTTTTCAAACACTAACATGTTTTTTTTATTCCATGTTCTTTAAAATATGCCTAATGTTCTTTTCGGAGGTCATGTTCTTTGTCAAACACAAACATGTTCTTTTGTTGAACACTATTATGCATGTTCTTTTACAAATACTAGCATGTTCTTTTTAAAACACTGGCTTGTTCTTTTTCAAACACTAACATGTTCTTTTTATTCCATGTTCTTTGTCAAACACAAACATGTTCTTGTGTTTAACACTATTATGCATGTTCTTTTTCAAATACTAGCATGTTCTTTTTCAAACACTCGTATGTTCTTTTTTTTTCTCATGTTCTTTAAAATAAGCCTAATGTTCTTTAGGGGTGCACCATGCGGGTGCACCATGCTATTTTCACTCTAATGGGGGAATGACATGCATTATTATTTTTCTCATTAACAAATAATCAGAAACTATGTCAACAATTTAATTATTTATTTATTTTATTTTATATTGGGAGGGAGTTCAAGAAATGAGACTAAAGCAAAAAAAATAAATTAAATAAATAAATATAGGTCCACATACCTACTAACAAATTGTATTGGCTACGACGCGCACTGTTGGGATCGAGAATACACAGATTATTTTTTGTGCCTTTCCCGGTGTAGCCTGCCGGGCATAAACATTTATAGGTTCCAACAGTGTTGACACAATATGCTGGCTCTTTACACAAATGACTTCCTTGGGTACATTCATCAATATCTAATATGAGCACATGAAAATCAATATTACTATAAAATCATTCTACTATTTTTCAAAATCAATAATGAACAGAACTTTCAGTGAAGTCGTGTGTGCAATTACTAAATATATCCAGTGCCGTAAGAAGAAAATAAATTACCCTGGCAATCATGAAGATAAGGATTACCCTGGAACCCAGGGTTGCATTGGCAGTGGTATCCCCTCTGGTATGGCAGGTTAAGGCACACACTATTTCTCTTGCATATGTACTCCCCTGATGATTTGGCAGTTTCACAATCTTCTGTTCCAATTGACCAATGATGGACCACAGGAAGTCGCAGATTTTTGAAATGTGTGGCATTTTGAATTAGAAAATCCCCTAAAGAAGAGGGCATTGCATCATTTGCAACCAAAAATGCAACGCTGCATGGATTAAAATCCAACACATTCTGGTGATTATTGTAACTCTTAGCCTCAATGCTAATATTGTTAACACTGTCAGGAATGAAGCCCAGACAACAGCCGATACCTGAGCACTTATCCCTCAAAAGATCTTTTTGTGCTTTATTACATAAAGTCATGCACCCAGAATTGAATAGAGTTGCATTAGTGATCCCTGTACCACCAAACCAAGCATAGGTGTCACAACCAATGGCAACAAGAGAGTTTTGGGTGGGCGATATAGTAAATCTTCTTAACAAATCAATCTTAGATACAAAATGAACTTCACCATCTTTATCAAAACAACTAAATGAAACAAAGTGAAGTACCCTGAATTCACCATCCAAAGTGATACTTACTACCTCCAAATCGGCATCATTCATTAAAGTTGGGGGATCTGTACTATTGTCACAAGTGAGATTGAAGAAAGGACCATCTATTGGGTTATCATAATGACATTCATCCCCTACGCCGAATGGATAAGGGATAGTAATGTTGCCACACCTTTTGAGGCAATTTGGAAGGGCTTTCTCTATATGCGAAGCATCAGAGGCTGCTGATGATCCCACAAAAAATTGGATACCCAATAAAGCTAGTATTGCCCACATTACAATAACAACAATATTTCCCCCTTCCATAACTGTCAAGTTTTTTTTTTTTCAATGGATGTATTTTGAGCTTGAGTTAAAGTCTTCACATCACTTAGAATGTTAGACTGCTACAAGAGTCAAAATTAGTTGTTCCAAAATCTTCAATATTTTTATTGTATGATTAAGAATACATGGCTTTGGTAGACTAAAAAAGATCTTGACGTTGGAGTTGGTGCATTCTTGGTTTGTTTGACATCTAGAAAACGACGAATACTCGCCAGCAAAGAAAACACTAACCTACAAATTTCTATGCCAATTGCCATTATTCTATACAACTAGGCTTTGAAAACACTTTCCAACTTAAAAATGAGAGTACCATTTTCCTACCTAAACACTTTTTTTTTTTTTTTTTGACAGTCATGAAAGCTAGGCAGTGATGTAACTAGATTCGATTTGAGTACCACCTAAGTCTTTAACCAACTAGGCTACTCTTTCTAGGTTTTTTTAAGTGTAACACTTACCAAATACGGTCGTTTATTTTTTTAAGTATTACATTTTTTTTATTTATTTCTTGGCAAAACTACATTTTAATACTATGAATTATCTATGTCTTCTCACTTGCTCTTCACCCAAACCCACTACTACTTTTTTTCATTACTTCGTATTTTTTTTCCTCTTACATTCATTCCGTTTCAATAAACAATATTGATCAAAGTGTAAATTTTAAAAAAACAAAGAGGGAGTAGTTGATAACTTCTTTGAATATGTTTTCTCTTGAGTGTATAAAGATTATGAAGTTATGAACTATGGAACTAAAGAGATTAATGTTAATAATTGTAATGTAGACAGATTCGAACACACCTCCGAAGACTTTAACCAAAAAAAGCTAATCATATTAATACACATCTATAATTTTATAAGTAGAGCGTCTAAAATAGTTATAATTTAAAATTAGGTATGGAATAAAAATTAATTACTGTAAAATATTGAATGAAATTGAAAGTAGTCGTTCCAAAATATCTAATCAAATGCAGGTATATGCATTACCAAATTAGTAGCAATCAATATTGAATAAATTACAAAATTAAAAATTGAAGCTTGCCAACAAAAAAAAGTTGAAGAAAAAATTAAGCTTACCCACAGCATTTTGGACGGAGAACAAATTCAATCGCCGGGAAATTCAGAGTGTCGGAGGAGGGGTCGCCGGAGGTGATAACCCCAGCTGTCGCTGGCCGGAACATTTTATACTGCATCTCTCTTTTTTTTTTTTTTTTTTTTCTTTTGTTTTTTTGGGGTGAAGAAGAGGGGCAAAGCCCTTTTATAGTTTATACCGCATCTCTAATAAGGTTGTACGTTACTGTACATAGATTACAAGTTTGTGCACAAATAGCATAATGTATAACTGCTATAGCGCTACACTGCTACTGGTATTAGCGGTTTTACTTTATACACGAATCAGGTTTTTGGCCTAAGGTAACTAAGTACCTATGTTTATAGGATGTTGGGAATGTTGGGAATGATTTGTTTAATCAATAATGGTTTATGATCTTATGGACAAATAAAATTCTTTTTTTGTGTCATTGAATTACTCCTACATAGGGTAAGGGTTGGTGTAGTTCACCTTATGTTTGTTAATCTGATCAGATTATTTGATTTTATCAAATTTTGACCTTATGCGTACGATAATGAAATATATCAAGTCGGATCTTATTAGATTTGTATTAATGTCGATTTTATTAATATGTAATTTTTAGAATACTTTCATCATGAAATTAAAGATAATTAGACATAAAAAACTGTACATAAAATGATTATCTGATCTGAATTTATTTTTAAATATGGTATGAGTCTTTAATTAGAATTTTCTTTGTTTATAAATACTTTTAACAATTTTACTGGCACACATATCAATGCAACAAAAATCGACCATATATTTATACAATTACATATTGATAAATATTACAAAGTATGAAAATTTTAATATTTGAAACAAGATATACATTGAGAATCATGTAATTCATCCAATAACATTTGATTTTTATAATCAATGCTCATCTTTGATATAGCTTTTATGCTAGTTACAATATAACTCATACTATTATAGATGTACAGCACTAACAGTAGCATAAATTTTGAAGAGAATCATAATATAAGCTCTTCAAAAATAAAATTTACATGAAATAAAATATGGAGCATCCTTGTGGACACATGTTATATAATGTTATCGACTGAATAATAGAGAAGGTTCAGCAGAGCTAGAAGAGCTGTTTTCCATATAAGAAGTGCTAAAACTTGTAAAATCATTATAGTATAAACCTTTGGATGTTTTTCCAGTAGACAGATGAATTGACAATACTGCTTCTATCTCTTGCAAAACTTCTTTCATGGCTGGTCTTTTCTTTCCATCCAAGTTTAAACATCGTTTTGCGAGATTAGCAATTGTAAGAAACTCTCCCTTCAAACTCTTTTGTAGAATTTGAGAATCTATAATATCAAGCAAACTAGAGTCTTCCATATGGGAAAGAAACCATGTTGTCAAACTTCGATCCTCTTCTGATATTGCGCGTATTGCTTTCTGTCCTGTTAAAAGCTCAACAAGTACCACACCAAAACTGTAAACGTCACTCTTTTCAGTAAACTGACTAGATTGAAAGTACCCTGGATCTAAATAACCAAATGTTCCCATTACTTCAGTGGTTACATGGGTTTGATCAGTCGCCACTGATTTTGAGGTTCCGAAATCTGATAATTTAGCCCTATACTTGTCATCCAAAAGTATGTTGGAAGACTTGATGTCTCTGTGAAATATAGGAATAGATGATGATGAATGCAAATACGCGAGTGCTCCAGCTGAATCAGAAGCAATCTGTAAGCGCATTTTCCAAGTGATTTGGAACTCTGCATTCGGATAATGAATATGGTGGAAAAGAGTTCCGTTGGGTATAAACTCATAAACTAGTAATGGAATTTCCGTCTCCAAACAACATCCCAATAACTTCACAATATTCCTGTGATTAATTAGTGATAAGATAACAACTTCATTAATGAATACCTCAAGATTGCTTTCTTTCACTAGTTTTGCCTTTTTTACAGCAACAATTCTTCCTTCACCAAGCATTCCTTTATAGACAGTACCATAGCCTCCTCGTCCAAGTATTCTATTTTCGTTGAAGTGGTCAGTGGCTTTCTCCAACTCCTCAATTGTGAAAACTTTCATTCTCTCTACAACTCCGTCACCAGAAGACATTTGTTGATGCATCAACAATCCACCATTTCTCTCATAGTATTTAGCTCTTTGTTTGACAACCTTCCTTTTCTTGATTAATGAATTTACCCACCATCCACCGAGAAACAGAAGTATTGAACTCAGTGTCACACTCAATCCTGCAGGATGACATATATAAACACTAAAGATTAGGTTTAGACAGTTGATTATTATACTAGTGAAAAATAGAAATAGAGTACATAAAGCCTTGTAAAACCAACAATTCAAGGGGTTGAAGAAAATATATATGGACTTATGCCTTACCTACTAACAACTTGTATCGACCATGATGGTTAGTGTTGAGATCAGGAACACAAGGATTAATCAGTGTGCCATTGCCACTGTAGCCTCCAGGGCATTTGCAATTATAACTTCCACGAGTGTTGATGCAGAGTGCCAGTTTCTTACATGGATTATTGTTTTCATCCGCACATTCATCAATATCTGAATATTTACACATAATTGATTATGATATCATTCAATTGTAAACTACACAAAAATGATGCTACTATACTAGTACTATTCTTTGTTTTAAGGATTGTCTCATTCAAGGCTCTGTGTTAGAATCCAACCTCTTTGTTATGTATTCTTCTTTATTTTCCTTATATTTTCCTTATGTAATGTCTCTTTAGTCTTTCTTTTTATTTTTCTAGACCCTAGGGAGAATTATTGTGTTACTGTCATTTCAACGTTCACTTGTAATTCTCTACTAATGCAATATAAAGCTCTTTAGGGAGCGAATGGTTATTCAATCAAAGCTCTCTACCCCGTTGTTATTGCTTTAAGACTTGTGTGTTGTTTAAGCCTTTATAGATATTGTGCTTGCCTTGTTTTAAAGCATCCCCCACCAAACCAAGAGACCCTAGAGACGTCCTCATTTTCGTCGGTTCCGCTTGTGCCCGCTTCGAAGTATCGGCCGTCACAAGCCCCGACTCCGCACTCGTTGTTCTCGTGCGCCCTCTTGAGACACCGTAGGTCCGTGTTGCTGTGTGCTCACGAACCTCCTTGCTTTAGGCTTGCGCCCTTGTCGCCAAAAGACGAGAGCGCGCCGCACGATCTGGTGTTGAATCACTCGGACCGTGACAGTTTGGTATCAGAGCCAAGTTTGCCGTAGAGATGGCAGAAGAAGGAGAGATGCATAAATACACATTCGAGGAAAGACTTGCTTGGCTTGAAGGCAAGTCCGAACAGTGGGCTATGCTTGAAGAAAGGCTGCCCAAACTCGAGGATATTGTAATAAAACAAGCCGACCAAATAGAGAGGCTTGCCGCTACTGTGGATGGGTTAACGGAGCAACTTAACTTCGTGCAAGGCGTCGCTGATGAAGCACATGATAAATGTGCAACCTTAATGCGTGCCCAGAGAGGGCTCGGGGGAAGTGGAGGTGCCAAGATAAAACCTCCCAAGCCCCGGACCTTCAATGGCACGAGAGATTCAAAAGAAGTCGATAATTTCATTTTCGACATGGAGCAATACTTTCGGGTCTGTCAGTTGGAGAATGAGTTAAAAGTTGATACCGCCACTATGTATTTGGTGGATGATGCAAAGCTTTGGTGGCGCACCAAGTACACCGACATCCAAGCTAAGAGGACGTCAGTGGATACTTGGGAGGATTTGAAGAAAGAGCTGATGGCCCAATTTTATCCCGAGAATACCGAGTTTGTTGCTCGCACCAAGCTCGCTGCTTTGCAGCATAAGGGTTCCATCCGGGAGTATGTCAAAGAGTTTTCAGCGTGCATGTTGGAGATCCACAATATGTCCGAGGAAGATCGCCTATTCAACTTTGTGCGTGGTCTTAAGGAATGGGCCCAAAGAGAAATTTGGCGCCAAAAGATTGATACTTTATCGGGAGCCATCGCTGCAGCCGAAAGGTTGATGGACTACTCCTCAGAGAAAGGACAAGGTTTGAAGAAAGGGAATAGCGGGCCGACACCGAACCCTCCTAGGAACTCCGGACATGGCTCGCAAGTGAGCTCCAACAACTCGAACAATAGATACAATAGGAGTGGGGGAGAAGACTCTCGGAAAAGTGGAGCTTCTTCCTTCTCTAGTAGAGGAAGCACCCCTAGTTCATCTTCGACAGCCAGGCCATTGACGTGTATCCTTTGCAGAGGACCGCACAAGTGGTTTGAATGTCAACACAAGGGAGAAATTGACAATCTCCAAAAGAAACTGTCCTCCATGTCCTTAGAAAACCCCGAGGGTGAAGAAGCCGATGAGGTAGTACCTAGTGAAGGAGAACATTCCAGACTGGGGGCCATTCGCATGATGTGCGCTATGGGAAGAGAAGGCTCTGAGGGCCAACCCAAAAACTCTGGATTGATGTATGTGAATGCGTTGGTAAACGGAAAGGAAACTCGTGCCATGGTGGATACCGGTGCTACCCACAACTTCATTTCAGAAAAGGAGGCAAAAAGACTTGAGTTGAAGCTCCTACCAGAAGGAGGCAGTATGAAAGCGGTGAATTCAGTTGCCAAACCGATCCACGGCGTTGCCAAGAAAGTAACAATGAAGCTGGGAGATTGGAGCGGACAGGTGGACTTTACCGTTGCGCCAATGGACGACTTCAGCTTGGTGCTCGGCATGGACTTCTTACACTTTAGTAAGGCAGTCCCGATGCCGCATCTTAGATCTATTCTGGTGCCCGGGCAGCAACCATGTCTCCTCCGAACCTGCGATTCGGGAAAAGGGCCGAAAGGGCCCCTCCTTTCAGCAATGCAATTGGAGAAGGGGTTGAAGAGGAACGAGCCCACGTTCCTAGCAACACTTTCCACGAAGGAAGATGAAGCAAGTGGAGACTTTCCGCCTGCAGTTGCCGAGCTACTATCAGAGTTCCAGGATCTCCTCCCGAAAGACCTACCAAAAGTTCTCCCACCTAGAAGGACAGTGGACCATGAGATTGAGCTGGTTCCAGGGGCGAAACCCCCAGCACGAAGCCCTTATCGCATGGCCCCCCCAGAATTGGCTGAACTCCGGAAACAATTGGAGGACTTGCTTGAGGCAGGCTTCATCCGCCCATCAAAGGCTCCTTATGGGGCTCCTGTGCTTTTTCAGAAAAAACAAGATGGAAGTCTTCGATTGTGTATCGACTACCGAGCATTAAATAAGGTTACGGTGCGCAATCACTACCCTATCCCTTTGGTGGCGGATTTGTTCGATCAGTTAGGGGATGCAGTGTACTTTACAAAGCTAGACTTGAAGTCTGGCTATCACCAAGTTCGTATCGCCGAAGGAGATGAACCAAAAACTGCTTGTGTGACGAGATACGGGGCATACGAATGGCTAGTCATGCCCTTCGGCTTGACGAATGCACCTGCTACGTTCTGTACTCTGATGAACCAAGTATTTCGAGAGTACTTAGACAAGTTTGTGGTCGTGTACCTCGATGACATCGTTGTCTACAGCAAGACTTTGGAGGAGCACCTCGAGCACCTAAGATTGGTCTTCGAGAAGCTGAGAGAACATCACCTTTTTGTGAAACGAGAAAAGTGTGCCTTTGCGCAGGAAGAAGTCGGATTTCTTGGACACTTTGTGGGGAAGGGTCGATTGAGGATGGACCCAAAGAAGATATGTGCTGTTCGCGATTGGCGGGATCCCAAGAACCCCTCTGAGCTGCGATCCTTTCTAGGACTGGCGAACTATTATAGAAGATTCATTAAGGGATACTCAGAGATCGCAAGTCCCCTCACCGACCTATTGAGGAAAGATTGTCGTTGGGAATGGTCAGGGCCCCAGAAGGAAGCTTTCCAGAAGTTGAAAGAAGCAATGGTCAAGGAGCCGGTCCTTGCCCTTCCAGACATCACCAAACCATTCGTGGTCGAGACGGATGCTTCGGATTTTGCTTTAGGAGGAGTGCTCCTCCAAGAAGGACATCCTATTGCATTCGAAAGTAGGAAGCTGAATAATGCGGAGAGAAGGTATGCGGCACAAGAAAAGGAGCTACTAGCCATTGTGCACTGCCTAAGAGGATGGAGGCACTACTTGTTGGGGTCAAAGTTTACCGTCCGCACAGACAACACCGCGGCGAGTCACTTTCTCACCCAACCCAAGCTGACAGGAAAACAAGCTCGGTGGCAGGAGGACTTAGCTGAGTTCGACGTGGAGTTCACCTATAGAACGGGATCCAGCAATAGAGTTGCCGATGCCCTGAGTAGGCGGGCCGATCTTGCTGCGATGTACAAGTTAGCGCCAATGACGGCAAGCAGCATTGCCACATCCGTTAGAGATCAAGTTCGTGCTTATCTCCCAGATGATCCGATGACAAAAACCATAACAAGGATGATTGAAGAAGGGAAGACTAGACGCTTTTGGTTGGAAGATGGCCTCATCTTCACCAAAGGTACAAAGCTGTTCATCCCCAAAGCAGGGGGATTGAGGAAAATGTTGTTGAAGGAATGCCATGATACGCTGTGGGCGGGACATCCAGGTTGGCAGAGAACCCTCAGTCTACTCGCGATGGGGTACTACTGGCCAGGAATGAAGGAAGATGTGATGAGCTACACCAAAACCTGCCTTGTGTGCCAGCAAGACAAGGTTGACAGACAGAAGCCCGGGGGCTTCCTTGAACCTCTTCCTGTACCAACTCGACCGTGGGAGAGTGTGTCGATGGACTTCATTAGTGGCCTCCCGAAGGTTGGCCAGTTCTCTTCTATCATGGTGGTGATAGACAGGTTCTCAAAATACGCAACGTTTGTACCCTTGCAGAAGGCTTGCGGAGCAGAAGAAACGGCATCTCTCTTCTTTAAGCATATTGTGAAGTACTGGGGATTGCCAAAGAGCATAGTAAGCGACAGGGATACCAGATTCACGAGCATATTCTGGTCTGAGCTATTCCAAATGATGGGGTCTGACCTCAACATGTCGTCAAGCCACCACCCTCAATCTGATGGGCAGACAGAGAGATTCAATGGGCTTCTCGAGGAATACTTACGTCACTTTGTGAGCGCCAACCAGAAAGATTGGGTGAGACTCTTGGACGTCGCACAACTTTGCTTCAACGCTCAAAGGAGTTCTTCATCCAACAAAAGCCCCTTTGAGTTGGTCATGGGTCAACAACCTCTCCTCCCGCACACAGTGGCTGACTGGGAGGGCGGTAGGAGTGCTCAGGCTCGAGATTTTACAAGAGAGTGGAAGCAAAACACCGACATTGCAAAAGCCTACCTAGAGCGAGCATCGCGCCGGATGAAGAAATGGGCTGATCAAAACAGAAGGCCAGTTGATTTTGCTATTGGGGACATGGTGATGGTGAAGGTCTTACCAGAACAGCTGAAGTTTCTCAGAGGGAGAGATCGTCGCCTCATTCGGAAATATGAAGGCCCCATCCGCATCACTAAACGGATTGGGAAGAACGCATACAAGGTAGAACCGCCTGCGTGGATGAGGATTCACCCCGTCTTCCACGTTAGTCGTCTAAAACCCTACCATCCAGATCCCGACGACAGCAACCGCAACGTCAGCTACCGCGCCAACATCAGAACCAGGACAAGAGCCACCCCTACAACAGAAGACTGAAGCTGCTAAGATCTTAGTGTAGATTTTGTAAGTCGACGAGGACGTCGACGACTTAAGTGGGGGAGGATGTTAGAATCCAACCTCTTTGTTATGTATTCTTCTTTATTTTCCTTATATTTTCCTTATGTAATGTCTCTTTAGTCTTTCTTTTTATTTTTCTAGACCCTAGGGAGAATTATTGTGTTACTGTCATTTCAACGTTCACTTGTAATTCTCTACTAATGCAATATAAAGCTCTTTAGGGAGCGAATGGTTATTCAATCAAAGCTCTCTACCCCGTTGTTATTGCTTTAAGACTTGTGTGTTGTTTAAGCCTTTATAGATATTGTGCTTGCCTTGTTTTAAAGCATCCCCCACCAAACCAAGAGACCCTAGAGACGTCCTCATTTTCGTCGGTTCCGCTTGTGCCCGCTTCGAAGTATCGGCCGTCACAAGCCCCGACTCCGCACTCGTTGTTCTCGTGCGCCCTCTTGAGACACCGTAGGTCCGTGTTGCTGTGTGCTCACGAACCTCCTTGCTTTAGGCTTGCGCCCTTGTCGCCAAAAGACGAGAGCGCGCCGCACGATCTGGTGTTGAATCACTCGGACCGTGACACTCTGACTGTTTGGTCCGGCTTACATTTTATTTCCTAAACAGGCAGGTTTCGCCATGAGTGACTTTTCCTGTGTTTTTTGAGGACAGGGTGAACCCTCAATTAGTCAACCCTTTACGGTGTTAAAGTTGTTAATGGGGCTGAGCCTCTATATGTTTTGTAAGGGAGGAGTATAATGTAAGAAAAAGAACTCGAGAAGAATAAACAGAACAAGAAGAGGAGTGAAGAATACCTTGGCAGTCATGAAGATAAGGGTTACCCTGAAACCCTGGGTTGCATTTGCAGCGGTATCCATCCTGGTATTGCTTCTCATAACATTTGCTATTTCCCTTGCACATGTAAATCCCAGCTGCTCGAGCTGCTTCACAAGTTGTGTTCCCAAGCGACCAATCAAAGAAAACTGGAAACTTCAGATCCGGGTAATAAGTATTATCTTGGGTTAGAATCTGTCTGATAGGGTAAGGTAGTGCATTGTCTGCAGCATGATCCTTAGCCAAAACAAAGGCGACACTGCACGGGTTGAAATCTTGCACCAACTGCTGATCACTCGGACTACTAAATGTTAAATCAACATTGTTTACTCCATTGGGAATGGAAACCAGGCAACAGCCTATGCCAGTGCATGATCTAGTATCAACATCTTCAGGTGCAGCACACACAGTCATACACCCAGAACGGAACACTCTCTTGTTGTTCATTGTACCATTCAGCATCACAAAAGTATCACATCCAATGGCACCAATGACATTTTTGGTTGTCGAAAGAGGAAACCTTTTTGTACGTATCCAGGCTCGATATTCAGCAGAAGGAGCAGAAGTATTAGACTTATCATAACAACGATATGAAATAGGGTAATGTACCAAGAGTTCACCCTTCAAAGTAATTTCCTTTATCTCTACCTTATTTCCCAAGGCAAGAATTGGAGGATTGGCACTAGTGTTACAACTGAGGTTGAAATATCTGCCATCATCAAATGGGGTTCCATAGTGACACTTATCTCCTACACCAAATGGGTAAGGGACCGAGATGTTGCCACATTTTTCAGGACAGTTTGGAAGGGCTATCTGTGAGGTAGCATCAGCAGTTGCTGATGATACCCCGGCGATATGCTGACTGGCCAATGAAGCTAGCATTGGCCATAGTAGAGCAACAATAACATTTAGCAATGCTGTGTGACAACCCAAACAACTCCACCCCTCTTCTAACATTTTTTTTTATTTTTATTTGTGCACCAACTTAACAATAGGTGTTCACATAGCTTTATATGAATTTGTTGGTGGAGTACTGCACAATTAACAGCTGCAAGAAGAATTTAAACTAAACAAAGTCAGAATCTTGTTCTGCATACCACAGAAGGCGGAAGCCCAGCAAGGCAGATCAGTCTAGAACTGATACTTACATATTCGATTCAGAACTTGAGTATCATTGTTATCACATTCATTAATCATTTACATACTAGATCTAAATGCATACAATGCGTGTTTCATATATTAAAAAACGTGTATAAAAAATAATTAAGATTATTTTAAGTGGCATCAAACTTCACAAAGTGATACCAAGAAGATAAATAAACACAGTTGATACTTTGAGGGTATTACTATTTTACACAAAATAATAAAGGTTGTTAAGCATACAAGGTTAGTATAATTGGATTATAATTCTATTAATAGTAGGTGTCTTTATTCAGTTGACTAGAGTTCGCTTTCTTTCCTGGCATTTGTTGTAAATTGTAATTAACAAAGTAATTAAGCATAATTTAATATGGTAATTGGATAGAAAATAATTATTGAAACGACTAGTGTTTGGCTAAAATTGTTGTTTTCTACACTTTGCACATGCATGGATCTCCTGATGAGGTGTCTAAAATGCAAATTATTGCATTTCATTGATAAATAATAACCTTATTTAAAAAATCAAGTGGTCAAGTGTAAACTATATGTTACACTATGCTATTAATTTCAATAAATATGACTAATTGACTAAGTCACTTACTAACTATACACACTTCCATTAAGAAAGTTAAATGTGGTCAATGCAATTCCCAATCGCCGAGGTCAATGCCTTCAAATGGAAGAGATATACAGTAACAGTTGAGTTGTTTATGCTTCACATACAAAAATATAAACTACTTGCTCATTTATTTAACATACAAATTGCATATATATCAAAAATACTACATTGATAGATTGTAGTTAGAACTTAAAAGTACACATGATACAAATTGCTAATTACAAAAAAAATTCAACCTAACTTACTAATTAAAACTGATTTATTTTCACTATGAGTACTAATACACATTTTATTTATATCATATGTGCTTACAATTTTTTTAAGGTTCAGACAACAAGCACTAAAGCTATCCGTGCCAAAAACATTACGGTTGTTAAGTTATCCTATTGTTGTTATTATTGGTATCAATAAAATTATTTCGAGTAAAAAGCGTTACGGTTGTTAAGTTATCCTATTGTTGTAATTCTTGGTAACAATAAAATTATTACTTGATATTGAATCCTACATAATTAATCAAACAATGCTATATTTAGTCATATTAAAACACAAAACAGAATTTTATTCAACATAGAAGTTAAAAAGAGATAGAGAGAGAATACCTAAATGAGATCAGACGAAGTGATCCATTATAGCACGTCAATGCTGAATTCAGTTCAAACGAAGCTGCAATTTGATGAAAATTTCTGAAGTGATTTGAAGAAGCAGTCGAATTCTGGGTTGATTTCAGTTCAATCAAATCGATTTTTTTGTCAAAAATCTCGATTTCTTCCAAGAAATAATCATAAAAATTTGTTTATAGCTAATGAAAAATGCTTTACTAGAAATTGAAGAATATGAAGCTTTTGATGAGTTATTGTATTTCAATGGAGCAGTTGAGAGGAATAAGACACAAGTCAAACAACGCTTCAATGAATGGGAAAAGTTAGTCCTCAATAAAGGAATCGTGGACCTTTATTAGTAGACCGGGTATAATTGACTGGCTTAGAGGGTTTATATTGACTTGGGCAGTTGGGCCTATTTATTACTGGCCCGTCATCACAAACAAGAATTCATTACTCCCTTCCTTTCATATTACAATTTTCCAGTGTTCTCTTGTGTCAAGAACGGTACCAAGTCGCAACAAATGGTGAGTTTTATCAAGGGATGGATTCAATTTGTGTTTAAACTACCGGACCTGAATTGGCCGAATAAAAGAGCCTTAGTGTTGTTTTACCTTAACTCGAAATAACTGTTCTTCATAAGCCAAAAGGGAAAATCTAAATCATCAAGTAAATTCCCTTTTAAACTTAGCCAATCAGTTAAAACATAACATATCATATCATGACAATACAAATACAATCACTTATCTGAGACAGCACTGAAGAACCAAAACAGTTAATTCCAGCAATGGTGGTTTCACAGGTTTAAGGTACAAAATATACCTGGTACAAATAGCAATCTTAGGACCCTTTCACCCTTCAGATAAATTTGATTTTTATACTTTAGTAATTTTAGCAAACTTACATGCAGATAGATAAAGAAGTTCAATACCCTAAATTTATGATTGTACATTCGAAACATCAACAATGAAAAAAGAAGAGACTTACAGAGCTCCTCAGCAGCAGCATGGTAACATCAAGGCCAAAGGTGAGTGTGTACATTACCTGCTAATGTGAGATATCAGATCATGCCGCCAACGATGAGAACTAGAGCTGAGATGCAATGGTTGCCAGCTTCGTCTTCTTTGCATCCTCAATCTCTCACAATCAGATTCCTCCCAATGCCATAAAGAGTACTCAAGGCATTGTGACCCTAAATTCCCCCTTCCTTTGAACCTGCAAACTCTAATTTTTTTTTTTTTTTTTTCCCATTGAAAATGAGTTGAAAAATTAATTCTGACAGTTCAAGAGTGGCATGGTGCTTTTTTTATCTTCCCCCTTTTACTGTCACTCTATCAATTATCTCCTTTTTTGTAAATTTGCAGAGTGGAATATTGTATATCATGAGAAGGCTCTTGTAAGAACACCTTCCTCATATGACAACACTTCCTTACGTAAGAAAAAATCTACAACCACACAATATGCCGTTTTTACCAAGCTCGTATAGATACAAGGACAAAAAAAGGCTTATGCAATTTTAAACTTGTAATAGGAAACAATAACCAATGCATTAATAAATAAATATCTCCTTATTATCTAAAAATAATATGCTTAATCATTATACCAATTATTGTAAAATGGATTCAAGAAAAGGCAAAACGTGAACCATCACCTAGGATTGATCTGAATAACAAAGATAGTTCAGCAGAATTCAAGGAATTATTATCTAAATAAATTGTGCTAGAAAACTTGTCTGTGTATAGCTACTCCCTTACCACTGGCGGTACTGGCCATGTGCTGAGTTTCTTTTTGAGGCAAATGAAGTGACAAAACGTGCTATATTGGTGTTTGGATTAAAGTACGTGAGATTTTGAAAAGATTTTGATATTAATGGCAGATTGGCAGGATTCAAGACTGTCTCTTCCTGTCCGAGTTCTACAAGATCTGCAACACCCAAAATAGGTTGAGGAAAAATGCATTTAGACAAATCACACACAAATAAGACAATTTCAGGAAAACAAAAATGTTAATTTTCCAGACAAAATAAGTTCAAAAAATATCATTCCATACCAAATAAGCTAAACCAAACAGAGCCTTTGTGTTGGTCTTACCTTAACTTGTAATACCTGCTCTTCATATGCCACAAGGGAAAATCCATATCATGAAATAAGCTCCCTCTAAAACTTAGCCAAGCAATTAAAGCATACCATATTATAATACAATGACTCATTGTGACATGAATGAATAACAAAATACTCAATTCAAGCAATGGTGGTTTCACAGGTTTAACTTACAAAAATATACTTGGTAGCAATGTCAGAACTTCAGCAGTTCAGCCAAAATTTAAATTTTATCCTTTATAATACTTTTTAGCAAACTTAAACACAGATTGATTAAGAAGTTCAACACTTTAAACTCATGATTGAACATTTGATGATTTGAACATCAATAATGAAAAAAGAAGAGAGAGACTTACAGAGCTGCTGCTCAGCGGCAACATGGTAACATCAAGGACAAAGGTGAGTGCATACATACCTGGTAAACGATGAGAACTAGGGCTGAGATGAAATGGTTTTCAACTTCGTCTTCTTTGCATCCTCAACCTCCCAGAATCAGATTCCTCCCAATATCTCCACCCAATTCCACTTACCAACCCTGTTTTCTCTCATAATCAAAGAATACTCAGCTCACCATTGTGCCTCTAAAGTTCCCCTTTCATTTGAATCTGCAAACTCTAAACGTTCTTTTCATCCTTTTTTTTTTTTTTTTTTTTTTTTTATGAATGAGTTGAACTATATCCTATAGTTTTAGATAGGGGTGGCAATTCGGGTCAGCAGGTCGGGTTCGGGTCAGATTTCGAGTCGATTTCGGGTTATACTTAGAAACTATTAAAAATAGTGTAAAACTTAATATTATTACGAAATATGAAATTTGGGTCAAATCGGGTCGAATTCGGGTTATTCGGGTTTGGTTCAGGTCGGGTTTGGGTCTCTCTCAGTAACTTCGGGTCGGGTTCGGGTCGGGTTTTCGTGTCGGGTCAGGGTTTGCCAGCCCTAGTTTTAGATTGGCATACTGCTTTTTTATCTTGCCTCTTTGACAGTCAGTCTTATCAATTATTTCCTCTTTTTTTAATTTTGCATAGAGTGACATACTGTATATCATAATGTACACATGTATCATAACTATATAAATATGGGCTCATTTAAGGTTTTTTTATTTCCCAAAAAGTGTGTTGTTATCAATATTTACTATAAAACTGTCATGCCTCTTAGAATCTTTAAGGGTGTTCTGCATATTGTTTCAGCTTATTATTAAGATGAGTAAATCAAGTCACAATCATTCGGAAACATAATACTACGTATAAATGAAGGTACAACTTTCGGCAAGCATTTTCAGTCTCATAGGCAATGCATAATTAAGGGAAAATTAAAAAGAAAAAGGAGAAGAAAAAAAAAAGCATTGAAGACAGTGTATAGCACCTGTAACATATCCTTTTTTTTTTTTTTTTTTGACGGGAACATATCCTTGTATCAATATAACCGTTAAATTGTAACATATCTTCTTGGTAGTTTCTCATAAAAAAAACTTTTTATTGACTTTAATCATCAAAACAGATCTCAGTGATGAGTGAAGGCCAAGATTAGACATTGGATTCAAAGTTATCCAAATTACTGATGTTACTCTATCCTCAAGTTCTAGACAAAATTTCAAGTTCTTGAACTAAACCAACAATCATCTACTACCAATAATAGGGTAGCCTTGCTCGGAGTGTCCTCTTTGCTGTGGAGGTCCAGTAGGTTCAGGATATCCTCTTTGCTGCTGAGGTCCAGTATGTTCAGGATATCCTCTTTGATGCAGAGGTCCAGTTGGTTCGGGATGTCCTGAATACCCTGTAGGTCCAGCAGACCCAGAAAATCCAGTTGGTGGCCTAAACCTAGGAGGGCCAGCAGGTTGTTGATGTTGTCCTGGTCCTGCTGATTTAGCGAAACCTGAAGGCTGGGAGTATGGCTGCTGAAAATTTCCCTGCCTCCTCTCATCCAGGAGCCTTTCAATCTCATCTCTCCGTCCCTCCTTTTCAAACTCTTGTAACAGAAACTCCCGAAGTGAAGGAGTGACACCAACACCGTACTTCATGATCTGACCAACCATATTCAAACACACATCAAATACACCACCACCACACAGCCCTTTGATGACAATTTCATACGTGGATGAATCAGGTTTTGGATCCCTTTCCCCCATTTTTGTCAAGACTTGTGAACATTCTAGTGCTTTGTTATTCTGAATCAATTCAGTAAACCACCTATTCGCATAGTCCGTAATCACTCTTAAATTAGCTTCAACCATCATCTCAAACATTCTCATGGCATCATCAATCCTTTGATCCTTAAGATAAGCATCAATCAAGGTTCTATAACCAGTAACATCCGGGCTCAAAGATTTCGACTTTAGCTCCGTAAAGAACTCCTCCGCCTTCTGAATCATCCCATGTTCAGCAAACCTAACAATAATGTTGTTATAACCAGCTACATCCATAGCAAACTGCCTTGACCCCATCTTGATCCCTACCTTCTTAAAAGTGCTAACAGCCTCTTCAAACTTCCCCTCCTTAAAACACTCATTCACCATTATATTAAAACTATCCGAATTCACTGCCTGAAAATTCGGTGGAGTATGTCTATCCAACATCGATTCAAACAACTCCCACGCCTCTTTCTTCTTCTCATACTTAAGCAACACCTCAAGAAGCACATTACAAGTGGCAGGGGTCATCTTAAACTGAAGATCAAGCAATGACCGATACGATTCCATAGCCTCCTTCTCTCTTCCCTTATTAAAGAACCACTCCATAAACGTAGCATTCACAACACCATCATACACAAGACACCTCTCCTTAAGCTCATCAAAAAACTCATTTGCCTTATCAAAATCATCCAAATCCAAAAACCCTTTAATCAAATTATTATAAACAAGCGAATCGGCCCCGAGCCCCTTATTAAGCATCTCCCTAAGAAGATCAACAGCTTCCCCAATCCTCCCAACATCAATTAACCCTTTAGTCAAATGCCTAAAAGTAACAGAAGAAGGACTAAATGGAGCCTCAGCTAAAATTAACTTATAAATCTCAACACCCACATCAACCCTTTTACACTCACAATGACTAACAATCAAAAAATTGTAAGAAACAATGTTGGGTACAATATTAGACTGCTTGAAAAAGAATTGGAAGAGAGAGACTGCATCATCGTACCTCTGAGCTCTATACATAGCAGCAATAATGGCGTTACAAGTGAAGACAGTAGGACGGGTGCGAGAGAACACAGCTTGTCGAGCAAGGAGAGCAGCGTTATCGAGGTCACCGGCACGAATGAGGGATTGAACACGGTTATGGAGGTTAAGGCGGGGGCCGGTGAGAGCAGAGGTGGTGTCGGGGAGAGGGCGAGCGTTGGGATCAGGAGGAGGACGAGGGGCATTGGGGTCACGGCGGAGGGCGTGGAGAGGGGGTTCGACGCGGAGGCGGCGTTTACGGCGGCGGCGTTCGGCGGCGGCTTCTTCGGCGGAGGAGAAGGCGAGGGTGCGAGGGTGGAGGAGAGAGAATGAAGGGTGAGGGTGGAGGTGAGGGAGAGAGGAGGGTGGTGTGGTGGTGGTGGTGGAGAGAGAAGTGCGGCGGAGGGAGCGGAGGAGGAGGCGGTAGAGAGGCATGGTGGTGGTGGAAGGGAGGAAGATTGGGAAATGGGGAAACAGGGGAAGTAGAAAATTTGTGAAAAGTGAGAGGTACTTCTTAAACCCTAACTAAAGAAAGTAAGAAGAGGTGCTCGTAGCATTTCCTTTTTCCTGGTCCCACTATAGGACCGTTTATCACAATAAAATTAGAGTTGACAACTTTTGACATGACACGACAATGTGACCGAGACTGACACGAACAAGTTATTGAGAGAAAATACGAAGACAACATGACATGACACGAAATCAACCTCAACACGATCTGTTTAGATAAGTGGTCTGATTATGCAATTATCTTACGTTTATATACTATATATTGTATTACTATGTAGTTTTTCATAGATTTTAAGAACAACATAAAATCGACACGGAACCAAATACGAATACTACACGACACTATTTTTTGCCAACTGTATCTAACGTTGGATCAAGCTAGAACGAATGGAACTGTAAAATGAAAAATTCAAGTCTCCGGAAAATAGATTGATTGTGGTAGGTTTGTAAATTTTGATCCTACCATATTTTAGAAATTGTGTTTATACACCCGGGTGCACAGTGCACCCAAGAGTATGCTTTGCTCATTTCGATGACTATTGTTCATTTTATCATCAAATAAACAAACAAATGCCCTTGGGTGTACCGTACACCTGGGTGTATAATAAAATCTCTCACCATATTCCGAATGTGGATATATAGAGTTAGGAGTGGATTGAATTCGTTTTAGGAATTTATTTCCAACCTATTGCTATACCATTGTGGTTATTTTTATAGAATAGGGGAGGAGTGTGTGTTTCAATTATAAACACTTATGGTGTGTTTTATTCACCTACTTATTTAAACGTGTCTCGTCTTATTAAAACTTATAAGCTATAATTTAAACTTGAATAACCCTTACCTGAACTTTTTTTTTCTCATGAATTTATCTTATCTATAATTTATAGCATAAAGGTTGATTTTGTACAAATGGACTAAATGGTATATGAGATATCTCCCAATTTATATTATGCACTACAATTCTGTACATCCCTATGCAAATTCAGTTTGGATTAATCTAGTTAATTTTTCTTAATTGATTTTGTGAAAACAGATTCCAAATAACAAATTATACTAACCCACTTTACAAGGCTAAATCAAGTATTGCAATGGAGTTTAATTATAAATAAATCATATTTAAGACTATAAGGGGGTGTTTGGTTCAAGCGTATTAGGTATAAGGTATGAGTTTTTGAAATTCAAGGGGGGAGGTGGGTATGGCTCATACCCATACCTTTAGTTTAAAATTAAAAGGAAAACTATCATTGTATTAAGTTCCAACCCCATACTACCCAGGTTTCATTCCTCATTCCAAACCTATATCATTGTTTGAACCAAACGCCCCCTAAGAGAGTTACATTGCCTCAAGCCCTTAACCCTCTATAATTAAAAATTCAAAAACTTTTGCATGCCCCCGGTTTACAATAATTTTATTGTACATCGAACATTTTCGAAAAGTGACCCTTTTTACTTACAAAAGTGACCCATATTTTCACAAAAGTGACCATTTTTTTCCATAAAAGTGACCCTTTTTTTATACAAAAGTGACTTATATTTTTACAAAAGTGATTTTTTTTTCACAAAAGTGACCCTTTTTTTCCTCAAAAGTGTTTTTTTTCCACAAAAGTGACCCTTTTTTTCCGCAAAAGTGTTCTCTTTTTTTCCACAAAAGTGACCCTTTTTTTGTGACTTTTTTTCCCCAAAAACAGAGTATCAAAATCAATAAAAATAAACACAAACGCATGCAAAAGTATACTTGATTGATGTCGTATGCTTAACGAAATAATGACAATTAACTTAGCTTGTTTCTGAAATTGGGGCTTGAATTGAGAGCTTCTCCTTCTTTAGCTTGTTTCTGAAACAGAGTACCGACGCGAAATTGGGCAGAACAATTCCTTATTGAATTATTTTACAGTTTATTCCTGCTTCAATAGGACATGAGGGGATTTTAAAATCAAGAGTTTATAATTTCTTTGGATGGATAACTAATGTCCTTTCTAGGCAAAAATTTGAGATGACGATCTACAAGGAACAATAGATCGGAGTTCGGCCGGATTATTGGGAGATGCTAAGGGAGTTCGACGGTGGCGCGGCAGCTGGGAGTGGCGACAGGGTTGGTGGTTTGGCGGTGGGTGTTTTTCTCGGCGGTGGTCCGGCTGACTTCGGCGGTGACTCCATGACTTAGAGTTGATGAAGTTACATGCCCAGCCCGATTTACACTAATTTAGTGTAAACCGGATGTTATTAAATATTTGTGTTAAAAATTTATCATATTATGCTATAATAACCTTTATAATGCTACATAACTATATCATTCTTTCGCATCATACATGCACTACTGCCAAAAAATAAGCAAGGAAACAAAATTTTTACAATATCTGAATCTGAAAGTAGTTTGTGTGACTATATATATAGAGTACTTTGTATTGATTCAAACTTAAAACCAAGCTCGTTCCGTGCTATACGCGCAGTCGTGCACATCTCTAATATAACAACATATTGTCATATTGACACATAAGAAAGGGCTTGAATTAACAAAATAACTATGCCTACAACTTTAACCTGAAGTTCCACAGAAATCACGAGATTGGCATCAATGCAGCAACTTCCTGGGAAGAGAATAAGCTTGAGCTGAGGGAGGCTGTGTACACCACACTTATATCAGCAACTGCTTGGTTACATTCAGGGAGCGTCTGCTGTACTGAAGTAGTTTCATTTCGTGATTGCAGCCCCTCGAGTATTATAGCAACTTCTTTCATAGTAGGCCTTTGCTTTCCATTCAAGTTCAAGCATTCTTTAGCAAGGTTAGCCACAGCCTCTAGCTCTTCCTGCTTTGCCTCGTTTGAAACCTCAGGATCAAGGATATCAGAGAAACAGAAATTTCCCATCATAAGAAGAAACTCTGTGGCAAGACTTCTCCATTCTTTAGATTTGTCTGGAGATATTGGCTTCTTGCTAGTCAAGAGCTCAACAAGGACTACTCCAAAGCTATAAACATCACTTTTTTCAGTGAATTGGTTGGATTGGAAGTACTCTGGATCCAAATATCCAAATGTCCCTTTAACTTGAGTAGTCAAGTGAGTCTGATCAATCAGTATAGTCCTTGAAGTGCCAAAATCGGAAACTTTTGCTCTGTATTTGTCATCCAAAAGTATATTTGAAGACTTAATATCTCTGTGGTAGATAGGAGTAGACGACGATGAATGAAGGTATGCAATTGCACCTGCTGATTCTGCAGCAATTTGCAAGCGCATGTTCCAAGGAATGTGAAACTCTTCACTTGGGTTATGGATATGCTGAGAAAGTGTTCCATTTGGGATGAACTCGTAAACAAGAAGAGGTACATCAGTTTCCAAACAACACCCTAGAAGTTTAACCACATTTCTGTGGTTAATTTGAGAGAGGATAACTACCTCGTTTATGAAAGGCTCTAATTGGCTTTCATCAACTTTTTTGGATTTCTTAACTGCTATAACCCTTCCATCCGTCAGCATACCTTTGTAAACTGTACCTTGGCCACCCTACCCAAGTATTCTGTTCTCATTGAAATTATCTGTGGCTACCTCTAATTCGCTGACAGTAAAAACTTTTGTTTTCTCCACAACACAATCATTGTAACACATTTGTCTTTGTAAAAGCAAACCACCATTTTGTTTGAAGTTCTTAGCTCTTAGTTTTATCTTCTTCCTTCTCTTCAAAATCTGCCACAACCAATAGCAACCTACAGACACCAATAATGATCCTACACCAATACTCAATCCTGCAAACAAAACATTCTGCATATTAGCATCTATTTTCTTATCATAAACTCATTTTTGAGCAATGATATGCCTTTCTATCTGTTTTATTCTTTCATATGTATCTAAACATTGAGTTTAAGATAAGCAATTTCCTTAAGCCTTAACCTTTATACCTTGTCATCTGACATAGCATTAGTTTTGATTTTTGAACATTCAAAGTAATTGCTTATGAAAACTGAACTAAATGAGATAATGCCATGTGAACAATTTGAAGTCCAAATGTTACCTAGCACAACTCCCAGAAGGTTCCTGCTCTTTTTAGTTATAAAACACCTAGCATCCATATAATCATCAGAAGTGATGTAACAATCACCTTTGCAGCTTGCACATCGTGGCGACTCTGCAAATTTAATAAACAAAAAAAAAAAAAATTGGACGTATGGTTCCATAAAAATTAAAATAAAATAAAAGCTTTATTTTCTTTTTTTGGTGGTAGTTTGGAGGGGGGGGGGGGTTGGTTAGTCAAACTGACCTTGGCATCCGTTAGGAAGATAAGGATTACCACCTTGTCGTTGCAGGCAGCTACATGTGTAATCACCATTAGCTTGATGCATGTAACAATTTCCAGAACCGGAATCATTTGATGATTGATCAGGTAAATAAAAATATTTCCAATCAAGATTAACCGGTATATGACTTCCACTGCTAACTAGGGACAATAGTGAATGCTGAGGGTTAGATAATAAAAGATAATTCAAGAAATCACGGTTTGCTAATAAGACATAGCTGCAAGTCCCATTAGTTAGAGTGATGTTAACACTGTAAACACTCAGGGGATAGGGGAGACCAGATAAGCAAATCGATTTCTGGGATGTCGAATTGCCCCTGATTTTACTATTACAAACTGATCCACAACGAGCCACTACCTTGTCCCCAACATTGAAAAAAGAAGTCCCTACACAATTTATAGGAGCAAAATCATTGTAAATGGAGGAGAAACTATATGGGCTTCCACCCAAGTTAGCACTCGTCCATGTTGTAGCTTGTCCATTACAGTTAACAGCCATGGAAGCATTAATTGTCACTTCTGGCGACTTTAAGGAAATTTTTAGCACCTGAAAATTGAATTTGGTAAGAACTGGAATTGAAGTGTTACATGTAATTTCATACCATTCACTATAATAGCACCTTGAACCAATACCAAATGGATACGGAATAGTAACATTTCCACACTTATCTGGACAACCAGGTTTTGCCATTGGTGGAGCTGCTTCGACTAAATCTCTTGATAGCCATAGGACAAGTGCCACTGTTGCAAGCATCATATCCATGGTTGCCAGCTTACCACCCAATTCACCTATACCAAATTCTGTGTTTGTGATTTTTTGGATTAGCAATGCAGCAGGCCTGTAGAACTCAAGGGCAAAACATTGAACTAAGATATCAACAAAATTTACAAGATGTTAATAAGTCAATTATTAAAGCTAATAATTTAGCTTCCTTGGCCCACTTCCTGACAAAACTACACTTAGAAACCAATTAGGATGCGTAATTAGCTAGCTGCCTAATATTGACTAAGAGGTCTAAGACACTTGATAAAGGAGACAAAACTGTTTCTAATATGCTGATAGAAGAGTCATCCATTTGGATCACCCTTTTTATAGTAAATACCACCACCGTTGAATAATCAGAAAACATAAAGTCATGTAATACTTCCAAACAAAACTAATATACAATCTTGCAGAAAAGACATCATAATTTACATTGTATGAGACAAATTAATTCAATAATCTAAAACATATTCACACAAAATAGTAGCTCAGAAAAGTCATAGATCCGGTAAGTGTATGAGGCCACTGTGATGTTAATATTACAGGATGTCACAATATTCGCAAACAATATTGACAGATAAATCAGGGAGAATAGCTATGTACTTGGGAAGCATTAAAAAAACTCTACACATAACGTTCACACATCAAACACGAAAAACACACCTGATTTCCAGCTTGAAGAACAGGGGATAGACAAGCAAATCATGACTGGCTCCGGGTTCCTTTTGTTATCCTTCGCAGCTGCCATAACCTTTTGGTCAGAAAAGAGGTTAGACTGCAAGAAGCATCAGCTGCAGATTTTTCTCATTTATATTTTAAGAGGGATGAAAGATTGGAATCATGTTTAACCAATTCAGATTTGTTTGATTCATATCCATAACAATCCGGGCAATTCCCATACAATCTACCATTTTCGTAATGAACTGCCTTTCCACTAAAATGTAAAAAATAGTGCAACAATCAGATATTCTTTCAATAACTATAGATAAAGTTATGTAAACGAATTTCTGTAACCCACTGTAAGTGTTACAACATCACCCACCTATGAAAAGCTAGCATATCTCAAGAAGCTCTATTGAAGGCAGTGGTAGATCCAAGATTTCCAATCAAGGGTAGCACATAGTCATTTAAGAAAATTTAAATGAGAAAAAACATATCAAATAACTGAAAAACCAGACTTTATTTTAGGTGGTTATATTGAAAACAATCGCCAAAAATGGTTAACAAAATAACGGCTTGTGTTAGTACATTGTTGTAGTAATTAACAATTGGATTTTAGACATTTGATTGAGAACTAATTCAAAAAACTGCAAAATATTACTGTTGTACGGAGCATTATATGTGTATAATTTTACTTTTTAATCACAGAGTAAAACTAGTAGTTTTGAACTAGTTAACAAAATATTTCATACTCCTTAAATAATTTGTGAAATGAAACTAGATTGGCGTACATGGTACACTGCTCATATATGAAGAATCAATGCATCTTCCTCCTGTGAAGAGAATGTGCTTGAGCTGAAGGGGGCTGTGTCCATCACACTTATATCAGCAACCGCTTGGTTCCATTCAGGGAACGTCTGCTGTACTGAAGAAGTTTCATTTCGTGATTGCAGCCCCTCGAGTATTATAGCAACTTCCTTCATAGTAGGCCTTTGCTTTCCATTCAAGTTCAAGCATTCTTTAGCCAGTTTAGCCACAGCCTCTAGCTCCTCCTGTTTAGCCTCCTTTGAGACCTCAGGATCAAGGATATCAGACAAACAAGAATTCCCCACCAAAAGAAGAAACTCTGTGGCCAGACTTCTCCATTCTTTAGATTTGTCGGGAGAGATTGGCTTCTTGCTTGTCAATAGCTCAACAAGGACTACTCCAAAGCTATAAACATCACTTTTTTCAGTGAATTGGTTAGATTGGAAATACTCTGGATCCAAATATCCAAATGTCCCTTGAACTTGAGTAGTCAAGTGAGTCTGATCAATCAGTATAGTCCTTGAAGTGCCAAAATCGGAAACCTTTGCTCTGTATTTGTCATCCAAAAGTATATTTGAAGACTTAATATCTCTGTGGTAGATAGGTGTAGATGACGATGAATGAAGGTACGCAATTGCACCTGCTGATTCTGCAGCAATTTGCAAGCGCATTTTCCAAGGAATGTGAAACTCTTCACTTGGGTTATGGATATGCTGAGAGAGTGTTCCATTTGGGATGAACTCGTAGACAAGAAGAGGTACTTCGGTTTCCAAACAGCACCCTAGAAGTTTAACCACATTTCTGTGGTTAATTTGAGAGAGGATAACTACCTCGTTTATGAAAGGCTCTAATTGGCTTTCATCAACTTTTTTGGATTTCTTAACTGCTATAACCCTTCCATCAGTCAGCATACCTTTGTAAACTGTACCTTGGCCACCCTGCCCAAGTATTCTGTTCTCATTGAAATTATCTGTGGCTACCTCTAATTCGCTGACAGTAAAAACTTTTGTTTTCTCCACAACACAATCAGTGTAGCACATTTGTCTTTGTAACAACAAACCACCATTTTGTTTGAAGTTCTTAGCTCTTAGTTTTATCCTCTTCCTTCTCTTCAAAATCTGCCACAACCAATAGCAACCTACAGACACCAATAATGATCCTACGCCAATACTCAATCCTGCAAACAAAACGTTCTGCATAATTAGCATCTATTTTCTTATCATAAACTCATTTTTGAGCAATGATATGCCTTTCTATTTGTTTATTCTGTCATATGTATCTAGCATTTAAGATTCAGCTATTTCCTTAAGCCTTAACCTTTGTACCTTGTCATCTGAGATAGCATTATAAATATTCTAAGTAATTGCTCATGAAAATTGAACTAAATGAGATGATGCCCTGTGAACAATGAAGTCCAAATGTTACCTAGCACAACTCCCAGAAGGTGTGCCCTGCTCTTTTCAGGAGTATAACACCAAACATCCATATAATCATCAGAATTTACGTAACAGTCACCATTGCAGCTTGCACATCGTGGTGAGTCTGCACAGAAGATATATACTGGAAGTAAGTATGGTTCCTATAAAAATAAATAAATAATTTTGGGGGGGGGGGGGGGGGGGCTGAGGGAGATCTGTGGATGCTGGAGGTTGGTTATTCAAACTTACCTTGGCATCCGTTAGGAAGATAAGGATTTCCACCCTGACCTTGAGGGCAGTTACATGTATAATCACCATCATCTGGATCCAAATTACAATTGTCAGAACTGGAATCATTTGATGATTGATCAGGTAAATAATAATACAACCAATCAAGATTAACCGGTATATGACTTCCATTGCTGACTAGGGAAAAAAGTGATTGCTGAAGGTGAGGAGATTCAAGATTATTCAAGAAATCACTATTTGCTAATAAGACATAGCTGCAAGTCCCATTAGTTTGAGTGATGTTAACACTGTAAACACTCAGAGGATAAGGTGGACGAGATAAGCAAATTGATTTCTGGTATGTCGAATTGTCCCTGATTTGATTATTACAAACTGATCCACAACGAGCCACTACTTTGTCCCCACCATTGACAAAACAAGACCCTACACAATTTACAGGAGCAAAATCATTGTAAATGGAGGAGAAACTATATGGGCTTCCACCCAAGTTAGCACTCGTCCATATTGTATCTTGTGCAGTACAGTTAACAGCCATGGGAGAATTAATTGTCACTTCTGACGACGTTAAGGAAATTTTTAGCACCTGAAAATTGAATTTGGTAAGAATTGGATTTGAAGTGTTACATGTAATTTCATACCATTCATTGTAATAACACCTTGAACCAATACCAAATGGATACGGAATAGTAACATTTCCGCACTTATCTGGACAACCAGGTTTTGCCATTGGTGGAGCTGCGACTACTATATCTCTTGATAGCCATAGGACAACTGCCAGTGTTGCAAGCATCATATCCATGATTGCCAGCTTACCACCCAATTCACCTACTAGCAAATTCTGTGTTTGTGAATTTTTGTATCAGCCATGCAGCAGGCCTGTAGAATTCAAGGGCAAAACATAGAAACAAAATACTTTGTATCAACAAAATTTATAAGATGTTAGTAGGCAATTAATAAAGATAATAATTCAGCTTCCCTGGCCCACTTCCAGACAAAATTACACTTATAAAACGATTAGGAAATATAATTAGCTAGTTCCACTATATTGACTAGGACACTTAATCTAGGAGACCAGAATGTTTTTTATTTGAGAAATGGAAATTTTATCCACCTAGGTCATCTTCATATTAAATACAGCCGCCATTAAATCAGTGGCGGACCCAGGAATTTTTGACCGGTGAGTCACAAACTCACAATCGATAACCAAATATGTAAAAAAAATTTTTTTTACCAAAATTCCCAAAAAAAATTATTTACAAAGATCATCCAAATAGAAAATTGACAAGATTACAATACTAACTAACATTTAACAAGCTTAAAATTGACAAGACTAAAATTAACAAACTAATAATTTTTTTTTTTTTTTTTTTAAAAAAAAAAAAAAAAACTTAAAAATTGTTTTGGGCCTTGGTGAGTCATTTGACCCACCAGGCACAAGGCCAAGTCCGCCCCTGATTAAATAATCAGAAAACATAAAAGTCATGAAACACTTCCAAACCAAATTGGTATACAATCTTCCAGAAAGACTTCGTAATCTACATCATATGATACAAATCTTTTCAATTCAGCTAAAATTGTAAATTTTAGTAATAGGTCAACATGATTTTACCACCCAAAATTAACGAACTGTGCATAATTTAAATATCTAAAACATATTCATAGAAAATAGTAGCCCAGAAAAGCCAAAGGTTCTGTAAGTGTACCTATGTATCAGACTATCAGTGTCTGTAATACTAAATTTAAACCTGAATTTCAGACAAGACAGTGAAACATCACACAGTTGAGAAGGCCACTAGGATGTTAATTTTACAAAATGTCGCAATGTTCACAAACAATATACAAATAAATCAGGGAGCCAAGAATAGCTATGTACTTAAGAAGCATTAAAACTCTGCACATAATGTTCACACATCAAGCACAAAATTGGATAACTACACCTGATTTCCAACTTGAGAATTGTGGAAAGACAAATCATGACTGGCTCCAGGTTCCTTTCGTTATCCTTCACATCTGCCATAATCTTTTGGTCAGAAAAGAGGTTAGACTGCAAGAAGCATCAGCAGCAGATTGTAAGAGAGATGAAAGGTTAGAATCATGATTAGCCAATTCAGATTTTTTTTTTTTTTTTTTTATTCATGTCCATACCAATCTGGGCAATTCCAATACAATATACCATTTTCGTAATGAACTGCCTATCCACTAAAAAGTAAAAAAATAGTCCAACAATCAGATAGTATTTCAATAATTATAGATAAAGTAATGTAAACAAATTTCTGTAACCCGTTGCAAGTGTTACAACATCACCCACTTATGAAAAAGCTAGCATATCTCAAGGAGCTCTATCAAAGGGTCATGTATCATTGTAACAAGAATCCCATTCAGCTTCCATTGCATCCTTGGCAGCTATTTCTGAGCAGAAAGGATTGGCTGAATCTGATTTCATCACTCTTCTCTATACACAATATTGTTCATGACCTCGGAGCTTCATATAGACACACAATTAACTCTCATTTGAAATGACAATCACCACACAAATGGCCAGCACGAATTTCACTGCAAGCATGATGAGCACAATTAAACCAATTGAATTATTTTGCAGTACAATCATCATAAGCATGAATGACCTCATGGATCAGAACATGATCGACCTCATCTTGCACGTTCATATTATTAACGCTGTACAGTATGAACAGCATAGAATTTACCAGTAGCTATTGTAATTTACCAATCATATTCTTTATTTTGGGCACTATTCTACTCCTAAATATGATGTACCTAGAAAAAAGCAAGTTAATCTTAAAACCCATCAGTGATTAGACTGATTACAAACCAAACCCCCAACAGCCGAACAATCTAGTCTTAACCCACTAAATCTAAAACAGGTTTTTCTAAAATTGAAGGAAAAATAGATGCTAAACCCTTATCAAGAAATTGGCTTCAATGAAAGAGATGTTTATATTAATCAATACACACCCAGAAACTTACAGCAATTCAAATACGTTTACTCAGTTAAACGAAACCAAATCTTCTCATTGAAAATGCAGACATTAAACTTCAATTTGTAATTAAAATATACGGAGTACAAAATTGAAATCAATATACCTGGACTGCTGGAAAACCCACTACAAAAGAATCAAATTTAATCATTCTCATCACTATATATATATATAAGATCATAAATTATTGGTTAGTAAGAAATGCCCAAATGCAATACATTAATCAAATACCCAAATCCTGAATTGTCAATTAATTCATCATTTATTCATCAATCTTTCAATTTAAAATTCACAAAATTAGAAAGGAAAAAAAAAAAAACCATAATTTAAAGTTGCGACGCTGCAAGAAGAGAGAGGAGGGAAAGTTAAGCAGTGAAACAAAGTAAAAGAACCACTTACCAAATAGCGAGTGACTCTGAATTCGATCAACCTCGGAAAAGTTTGAATTTGGCCGGAATTTCAGAGAGGTTGCAGTTGTTGCGGTGGTGGCGAAATGAAGTGACTAGTGAGTGAGTGACTCAAATCACTCAGGACGAGTAGGACGCTAAATTACTAATTAACCCCTTTTTATCCCTATAACTCTGTAAGGCTATAACAACAATTAGGAGGAGATTTGAACCTAACCACCAAAAAGCAATCCCTGAATCTAAATTGGCCCAACGGAGTAATCAAATAAAAAAAAATGCTCCGTACTAATTAACCTCTTTTTTTATTGACAAGCTAAATGACGTCCTTATTTTACTAGGTAACGCCCACATTTAAAAATGAAGGGACAAACATACCCTCGCATGTATTTCATGTTTTAACTCAATCAAGCATTCTTTCCTCCCAACTAACCACCACCGACCAACTCAATCAAGCATTCTTTCCTCCCAACTAACCACCACCGACCAAGGGCAAGGTCATCAGACATATCGCAGGAATCAAATTCGTCTTTTTTTTTTTTTTTTTTTTTTGGTGAAGGCCAAATGCTTAATTTTTCAAAACTGTAGGGCACAAATTTCAAAAGTCCCTAGGAGATTCGAAAATTCTAGGCGTTTTACCCCGTAGAGTTTTCAAGTTTTTTATACGTTTTTTTATTTATCATAACTTCTGATTCCAAACTTGGATTAAGACAAATAATATATCGTCGAAAAGCTCTAAAAGACTAATTTCCAACCTAATTCAAATCAAGTCAATATCATTTCTATATCTTAAGTTATGATATGGAGTAGGACTCAGTAGGAGCTTCAAGCTGCAAAAGGTTGTTGCAGGAAGATCTCCATCAATATTTCTCTCCGCCTTATACATTAATTAACACTTATAAATATACTCCGTATAAAAAATTGCTTTATTTCCTAAAAAAAAAAATGCTTTCAAGGATTGAATTAATTTGTTTCATACGATGTAAATTATGATTTATGACGTCTTTTCTGCAAGAATGTATATCAGTTTGGTTTGGAAGTACTTCATGACTTAATGTTTTCTGATCATTCAATGGCAGTTTTATTAACTATTAAGAGGTGATTCAGGTTGATGAATATTGTATCAGCAAGTGTATTAAACAGTTTGGTCCCCTATATCAAGTGTTCTAGTCAATATTATGCAGCTACCTTATTACTTCCTAATTGGTGTCTAAGTGTATTTTGACCGGAGGTGGGCCAAGGAAGCTGAATTATTAGCTTTAATAATTGACTTTTAACATCTTGTAAATTTAGTTGACATTTTGGTTCAATGTCTAATACAAAAAAAATCACAAACACAGACTTTGCTATAGGTGATTTGGGTAGTAGTAGTAAGGTGACAACCATGGATATGATGCTTGCAACACTGGCACTTGTCCTATGGCTATCAAGAGATATAGTCGAAGCAGCTCCACCAATGGCAAAACCTGGTTGTCCAGATAAATGCGGAGATGTTACTATTCCATATCCATTTGGTATTGGTTCAAGGTGCTATTACAATGAATGGTATGAAATTACATGTAACACTTCAAATCCAATGCTCACCAAGTTCAGCCTTCAGGTGCTTAAGATTTCCTTAAGTTCATCACAAGTGATAATCAATGCTCCAACCGTTGTTAACTCTACTGCACAAGATACAACATGGACGAGTGCTAATTTGGGTGGAAGCCCGTATAGTTTCTCCTCCATTTACAATGATTTTGCTCCTGTTAGTTGTGTAGGGACTTCTTTTGTCAATGGTGGGGAAAATATAGTAGCTCGTTGTGGATCATTTTGTAATAGTCAAATTAGGGACAATACAACATCCCAGGAATCGATTTGCCTATCTGTTCTCCCCTATCCTCTGAGTATCTACGGTGTGAGCATCACCCGAACTAATGGGACTTACAGCTATGTCTTAGTAGCAAGCCGTGATTTCTTGAATAATCTTGAAATGTCTAACCCTCAGCAATCGCTTTTGTCCCTAGTCAGCAATGGAAGTCATGTACCGGTTAATCTTGATTGGAAATATTTTTATTTACCTAATCAATTCTTAAATGAGTCCAATTCTGGCAATTGTAACATGCATCAAGCTAATGGTGTTTACACATGTACCTGCCCGCAACGACAAGGTGGTAATCCTTACCTTCCTAATGGATGCCAAGGTATGTTTTGACTAACCAACTCCCCCCCCTCCTCCCCCCCCCCCCCCACAAACAACCACCACCACCCAAAAAAAGAAGGTTTTTTTGATGGAACCGTACTTCCTTTTTTTTTTCTTTGCCAGAGTCGCCACGATGTGCAAGCTGCAAAGGTGATTGTTATGTCATTTCTGATGATTATATGGATGTTGGGTGTTATATTCCTAAAAAGAGCAGGGCACACCTTCTGGGAGTTGTGTTAGGTAACATTTGAACTTCATTGTTCACATGGCATTATCTCATTTAGTTCATTATCATAAGCAATTACTTTGAATATTTATAACGCTATGTCATACTAGTACTAGATGCATATGACAGAATTTAACAAACAGAAAGGCATATCATTGCTCATAAATGAGTATATGATAAGAAAATAGATGTTAATATGCAGAATTTTTTGTTTGCAGGATTGAGTATTGGCATAGGATCATTATTAGCGTCTCTAGGTTGCTATTGGTTGTGGCAGATTTTGAAGAGAAGGAAGAAGATAAAAGTAAGAGCTAAGAACTTCAAACAAAATGGTGGTTTGCTGTTACAAAGACAAATGTGTTACAATGATTGTGTTGTGGAGAAAACAAAAGTTTTTACTGTCAGCGAATTAGAGGTAGCCACAGATCATTTCAATGAGAACAGAATACTTGGGCAGGGAGGCCAAGGTACAGTTTACAAAGGTATGCTGACGGATGGAAGGGTTATAGCAGTTAAGAAATCCAAAAAAGTTGATGAAAGCCAATTAGAGCCTTTCATAAACGAGGTAGTTATCCTCTCTCAAATAAACCACAGAAATGTGGTTAAACTTCTAGGGTGCTGTTTGGAAACCGAAGTACCTCTTCTTGTTTACGAGTTCATCCCAAATGGAACACTCTCTCAGCATATCCATAACCCAAGTGAAGAGTTTCACATTCCTTGGAAAATGCGATTGCAAATTGCTGCAGAATCAGCAGGTGCAATTGCATACCTTCACTCATCGTCGTCTGCTCCTATTTACCACAGAGATATCAAGTCTTCAAATATACTTTTGGATGACAAATACAGAGCAAAGGTTTCCGATTTTGGCACTTCAAGGACTATACTGATCGATCAGACTCACTTGACTACTCAAGTTCAAGGGACATTTGGATATCTAGATCCAGAGTACTTCCAATCCAACCAATTCACTGAAAAAAGTGATGTTTATAGCTTTGGAGTAGTCCTTGTTGAGCTTATGACAAGCAAGAAGCCAATATCTCCTGACAAATCTAAAGAATGGAGAAGTCTGGCCACAGAGTTTCTTCTTTTGGCGGAGAATTCTTGTTTGTCTGATATATTTGATCCTCACGTCTCAAAGGAGGCTAAGCAAGAGGAGCTAGAGGCTGTGGCTAACCTGGCTAAAGAATGTTTGAACTTGAACGGAAAGCAAAGGCCTACTATGAAAGAAGTTGCTATAATACTCGACGGGCTGCAATCGCGAAATGAAACTTCTTCAATACAGCAGACGTTCCCTGAATGGAACCAAGCTGTTACTGATGTAAGTGTGATGGACACAGCCCCCTTCACCTCAAGCACATTCTTTTCCCAGGAAGAAGATGCATTGATTCTTCATATATGAGCAGTGTACCATGTATGCCAATCTTTTGATTTTTATGGAAATTCAGGTGGGTGTGTGTGTGTGGGTGGGTGGGTGGGGGGGTTGACCTCATCCGACTCAGGGGGATTGTTTTTGGGTCTGTCCTATGGCAACGCGTGTGTTAGCCCTTAGCCGGCAGCCAAGTTTCATTCGTATGTTGAAGGAGCTACTGCCTTTACCTGACACATATGCTCTAAAACTCCCATATTGTTCCACCATTTTAATGCTCCCACTTACCAAGCTCAGCTTAGGTTTACTTAGTTTGTTAAACTAAGTCGTTGCTATGAGGCAATGTAACCTCAAAGCACGACAAATTGCATAATCAAATTTGTCATCATTTTCGACAAATAATGAAGAAGCAATTTGATTTATTCATCAATTTCGATGTATGATGCTCTTGACATGCAATATACTACTAGTATCTATTGTAATTTACTAATTATATTCTTTATTTGGGCACTATTCTACTCCTAAATATGATGTACCTAGCAAAAAGCAAGTTAATCAGTGATTAGACTGATTACAAACCAAACCCCCAACAGCCGAACAATCAAGTCTAAACCCACCAAATCTAAAACAGGTTTTTCTAACATTGAAGGAGAAATTAGATGTTAAACCCTTATCAAGAGATTGGCTTCAATGAAAGAGATGTTTATATTAATCAATACACGCCCAGAAACTTACAGCAAGTCAAATACGTTTACTCAGTTAAACGAAACCAAATCTTTTCATTAAAAATGCAGACTAACTTCAATTTGTAATCAAAATATACAAAATTGAAATCAATATAGCTGGACTGCTGGAAAACCCAATACAAATGAATCAAATTTAATCATTCCCATCACTATATAAGATCATAAATTAAGCAGTGAAACAAAGTAGAAGAGAGAGGAGGGAAAGTTAAGCAGTGAAACAAAGTAAAAGAACCACTTACCAAATAGCGAGTGACTCTGAATTCGATCAACCTCGGAAAAGTTTGAATTTGGCCGGAATTTCAGAGAAGTTGCAGTTGTTGCGGTGGTGGCGAAATGTAGTGAGTGAGACTGTGGAGTGACTCAAATTACTCAATGAAAGACGCTAATTACTAACTAACCCAATCTCTCTCTCTTTTTTTTAAAAAAAAAAAATAAAAAATTTGTCAGAAACAACCTTTTAAAGTATCCACTTTATTTAAAATAACCTTTTAATTTTACTTTTTTTTTGCAATTTCAGACCACATTATAAATTATTTTTATCAAAGACAACCAAATGCTACTTTCCGGCGTTGACTCTATTTTTCCCAATGTTGACCACTAGTGTGCAACGCACATGAACTTGTATATTGCTTAATACACCAATTTTCCCTCCAATTCACTCGTACTAAAATAGGGATGAAAGAGAAGCAAGGGTTTTAATAGGAGTTAATTGGAGGGAAAAGGGGTGTATTAAGCAATATAGGAGGTCACGTGACTCGCACACTCGTGGTCAACATCGGGAAAAATAGAGTCAACGCCGGAAAGTAACACTTGATTGTCTTTGATAAAAAAAATTTATAATGTGGTCTGAAAGATACCATAAGACGGATGTGTCTATGTGATATGTTTTATGCGTTGACATTCAAAACTAATTGATGATTTTGTGCTGATTAGTTAGACTACTCTCTCTAGCTCTCTCTCTTTATTACAAGTAGGAGGCAAAACTCAACTATTTCTTACAACAATTGGCATCTAATTTGCAGATGCCTCAGTGTCAACATTAAATTTTTGGTAAATTTCACTTTTATAAAATTTCCAAGTCCTAAGAACCAATATAAGTGAAACCAAACATCCAAACAATGTGGTACCACTAATAATAAGAAAAGAAACCTTGAAACAGTTTGCACCAATACAGTCCAAATCTTCCCCTAATTTTCTTTCCAACCCCTTGTCATTCAATTGTTTCAAAGCCTCTCTATCATAAAGTTTGCCTGTGACCACCACATTGAAAATATACGACCCGATTGGGCTAGCCACGGACCCAAAATTGTAGAGTGTGGCGTAGTACTTGAGCCCAAAAATCTCCGATATGATAGCATAAACCAAAGGCCATTGAGCCCCAAAGCAAAACCCAATGATCACTGATGCTATATAGAGTGAGTTAGGGACTGCAAAAGCGATAAGAAGGTGACCCACACAAGAAACAAGTAGGACTAGACTCATCATCATGGGTCTTGGAAACTTGTACTTTTTTAGAAATATCTCAGATGAAAATCCAGAAGTGACTCGACCTAGGTAGTTCCATATGCTCACTAGCGAGACAAATGTGTTTATGCTTCGAGTTGGATAGCCTAAAGAACTCCCTATCTGGCCCAAATTATCAATCATGGTTAGGGTCCCGCCTAGACCACAAATAGAAGCCACAAAAAGGATGAGCATGTCAATACTAAAGAGGGCTTGGAGTATGGTGTAGTCTTCTCCTCTGTTTGGTGGCTTGAATATGTTGGTTAGGCAAGTACCTTGGTTGTCCTTTGGGTCATCATTCGAGGGTTCTATTCGCGGTTGTTCTTCCCTTTGTTCAGCAACAACTTCAAGAGGTGAATCAATTCTTTTGCTTTGACTTGCAAGGTAGGAGTACTCTTCTTTTGCAAAAATTACAAGGGGTAGAAAGACAAGAAAAATAACAACCAAGGCACTTGCATAGTAACCGGCCCTAGTGAACAAGAGACTATTTTGCACTATAATCAAGACCATTAGAAACCCTGCAAGTGAGAGTGATATATAGAGCAGATTATAGAAGACCTTAACCTCATTCTGTTGTCGATCTTGATCCGCCTTCACAACTCTTATAGTTCGAAGAAAAATCATGGAAACAACTGCAGGAAGCCAAGAGATGAACAAAATAAGGTCTTTAGATTTATTACCATAAAAGGCATGGTAAAGTTGTGCAAGGATTGCACTACTTAGACCTACATAGCCCTTCAAAAGTCCTAGCACTATTCCTCGGCTTTCAGGGAAGTTCTTGACACAAGTTACCAGAGCACCCGTGTTGGCAAAGGCTTGTGAGTCGGCTCCTATACAAATGTAAAGACACATTTGCCATACAGGAACGCGCTTGAGATGGCCGGTGACAGCAAGCCAGATCATGAAGTAGCCAAAGTTCATAAGGGCTCCAATAAACAGGACAACCCAAGGTGGGGTGATCTCGTTGATGAGGCCTGATAACACCCCCACATTAGACCCCAAATCCTTGAAGAAGCTAAGAAGATTTAGAGTGTCTTGGTCATAACCCATTGAGGTTTTTATGTCGTTTGAATAAAGCCCAAACATGTATCCTGTACCTGACACTGTCATGATCAGGATACACCCGAAGACCATGAACCATCTTCCAAGGATCAATTGTGATCCAAAGCGACTAATAGAGAATGCCATAGTGTTTTGAGTGCCTACACAGACAGGAAGTTTCTAAACTCGCTTGAAGGGATGAAAGTTGGGTGCTTAGAGCACCCTTATATAAAAGTGGAACGCGAAAGATCAGTTTAACAATAACATGTCACTGCTAGGAGGCCTGCAGAACGACTGCCACAAAATCAAGAAGGAAAAATAAGTTTGAAACACGGATTTTGCGATGCACTTTTCCAAGTTCAAGAAAGTGACAAGTTCTTTACCATTTTGAATGATAAACTCAAAACTGATGTATAATCTGTGTTATTGTGACAGAAATTAATTACATACAGGAGTTAGCTAGCAGTACATCTGTACAAATTACAAGAATTTGGGAGTTTGGCCAGATTGAAAGCTATACACGGCTCTTGCCAAATTCCTGGTAAAATGTCAAAATCACATTTGCATGAGATCTATCTATGTAGTTAAGATTGCAAGAGGAGTTTGATGTTATGTGTGATTTCAAGCATAAAAATATGATTTGATTGGCTCATAACATATTCATGAACTCTGAATCTTAAAAATAATGTGTTATGAAAAATAATGTGTTATGAGTCCTTGTAATGCAAAAATGCCCCTATTAAACCGCAAGTTTGTTGGAAATTATAGTTTAGATCAAGTTGAGTTATTTTTTATTGTTTCCTTGGTTTGAGGAAGTTTGTTATTAGCTTGTAAATATGTTATATAAATACTTCAAGCTCAAGCTAGTCAGTTGTTTTTATATCTGTTAACAAAAAAAAAAATTAGTTATAACAAATTGTTTTTTTAATAATTACTTGCATTGCAATCCCTTTACCTAAGAGTGTAAGACAACATTGTTCAAAGCAGAAGACAGAAAGAAAGCTAGCTAAAAGAAGCAGAATGGCTACATGAAAGAAGTGTTCTTGTAAACAAATAATAAGAAACTCGAAAACAGTTATCTTAACAACTAAGGAGAAGCAGACCGATAATCTGACCTCCAAAGAGGTAAAATTGCATTCTGCCCTGGAAACATCATTCTGCACTTATCTCAGTCTCTGTAATCTATATAATTTTTGACAGTTGATGCACCCCTGCATACGGTATTGAAACAATAAAACTCGCAGTCATAAAACTAATAACAAAGTATACTTACACTATGGATATAAAACATACTATGTATTTTAAAAGCTAGCGAGGAGAGCATATCTCAATAATCATATCCTTCTCAAAAGTCAACTGACAAGAAGAATTCTGGTCTGTAGAGGGCTGAAAAGGCCGGTGTTCACTTAATAAGCCATGGATCTCATTGTTGCCTTGAATAGACTGATGATCCTGTGTCTGCTTACACAATCCATCTAACACACTTGCAACTTCCTTCATGGATGGCCGATCCTCACCTTTTACACTAAAGCATTGGGCTACAAGATTTCCGACAGTAATAAGCTCCTCAGGAGATGCTTCCTTCATGAGTTGAGGCTCAAGGATATCAAAATACTGATTGTTCTTGATTGCACTAATAAAATGCATTGCTAAGTTTCTGTCTTCCAGTCCGGTCTCCCATGAAATTGGTTTTCTCTTTGTTAATAGTTCAACCAGAACAACTCCAAAGCTGTAGACATCACTCTTCTCGGACAGATGACTTGTCAGAAAGTACTCTGGATCAAGATACCCAAATGTACCTTGAACCAGGGTGGTAACTTGAGTTTGATCAATGGGAACTAACCGGGAGACTCCAAAATCCGCTATTTTTGCAGTAAAATTATCATCCAAGAGAATGTTGGAAGACTTGATATCTCTATGGATGATGGGCATTGAAGCTGCAGAGTGCAGATACGAAATTGCATTGGCAGCCTCAGTTGAAATTCTCAGACAGTTTTCCCATGAAAGCCAACGTACACCATTATTGTGTATGTGATCAAAAAGAGTTCCATTGGAAACAAATTCATAGACCAACAAGGGAACTTCAGTCTCCAAACAACATCCTAAGAGTTTAACCACGTTTCGGTGGTTAATCTGGGTTAGGATTACCACCTCATTGATGAACTGCTCGACTTGACTCTGGTCACTTACCATAGATTTTTTTACTGCAACTACTTGGTCATTTGGTAAAATCCCCTTATACACAGTACCAAAACCACCACGTCCAAGAATATTATGCTTACTGTAATTGTTGGTAGCTTCCCTCAACTCTTGAGTAGTAAATATTTTTGTTGAATCATTGCTGCCTTGGTTCAAAGAAAGCTGTTGTTTCAACAAAAAACCACCATTTTGGTGGAAGAATTTCTCTTTCATTTTCATATGCTTCCGTTTCTTAATACAAAGATATATGCAGCTTATGTTTCCAGTACACAACATTAAGCCAATGATTGAACCTGCATGAAGCACTTAAAAGGCTCATCACAGTCTTGCATTCATATATGCTTAACATAAGTTTCAACCAGAGAAAAAAAAACATGATAATAATGCATGTAGCAGTACTGAATTATCTGTTGCAATCCTTATTTTGACTTTCATGGTAGTCTAAATGCTAATCCTTGATTAATAACAGTAGAGCAATTTTTTTTAAAAAAAAAACATAATAACAGAAGAACATAAATATGAAACACTTACCACCAAGAAGAACCAGAAGGACCAGCCATGTATAAGCTTTATCTTCGTTGTATCGGACACAGAGATAATGTTTCCCTTGCTTGATGCACCCTAACTTACATTCCTTGCATTCTTTAGGAACTGGTTAAATTAGGAAAAGTGAACTGAATCAGAAATTGTAATTCGGCAGCACTTTAAATTTTATTCTGAAATGTATCAGACAGTAAAGATCTGTAATGCTTACCTTGGCATCCATACGGAAGATAAGGATTCCCAAAAGTTCCATAATTGCAGTAGCAATCATACTTATCTGGAGGGCCTTGACAATTCTTGTTTGTGTCATCAGCAGGCATTGTTATGTTTCCGGGTGTCCATTCCAGTATTGTCGGGACTACTGCAAACTTAGAGAGACTTGGATCTACAGCCTCACTGATAATTGATGAGGTTCTGTTCATCAACATGGTGCTTGTGCAGTCATTAGTACCATTACCAAAGTTGAAAATGTTCACGCTGTAAAAGTCAAGTGAAGAAGGAAGATTAAAGCTGCAACACCCACGGCCAATGCAGTCATTCGTTATCATAGGACTCTTATCACAAACTGTTGCACACCCTCCTATTATCTTATTGCTTCTATCTAACAAGAGGGTGCTACTCCCACAACCCCCAACAAAAAGAGAATTGTACCCTGCCGTAAACAAATAAGGAGTTCCCCTAAGATCGATACTGCTTATATTTGTATCTAGGATGCTGCAGGTCCTCTGCAGCGGAGTTTTTACTGTAATAGTGTTCTGAACCGAAGTATGAATACCTATCTGTTCAACCTCAAGGTTAAATTTATTCAGAAAAAGTTTTGGGTGCAACAAAGAGGTATTGCAAGTAACCGAGTATGGTAGGCTGTAGTAGCAATCAACCCCTATTCCAAAAGGGTATGGAATGCTCACATTCCCACAGATATCCTGACAGCCAGGCTTTGCTATGGGAGGATCAGCTGTTATCAGTAATGCCGCCGTCAACAATGGGTGCACCCAACACAGAGCTACAATGATGAGCTGAAACAAGTAGGAAAACATGATTCCCAAGATTTTTTTTAGCATGAAATGGACAGCATATAAAATATGAACGATGCATTAATTATATAAAAAACTTCACAGCAATGATCATATAGATAGCAGTCATAGCACCCAAAGAACCCATGATGGTCAGAGCCACCAAATTTAAAAGCTGGTGGAATACTTAATTTTCAGCAGAAAAGTCAACATAAGCCACCTTACCTAAAGTGAATGACACAATACTTAAATCAATATATATTTCTTAACAAAATTCACTTCTATAGGATAGTATATACTTCGTACTGCAAAATTCTTTTGTACCAATTGCTAAAAGTTAGAGAAGTTAAATTTAAAGGAACCAAAGAAGTTCATAATCAACAATATACCTTTAGACCAAACAAAGTATTCCCTCTGCCCTTAAATAAAAGTTTTGTAGAATATGTTTGGTTGTGTAAAAAAAAATTATTATTATTAGACGAAAAGAGTAGAAACTTTGACCATCCACATTGCTAATCTTTTGACAGTCCCATTTTCATTCTTTCTCTTTCATTATAGATCCTCACACATGTGATTAATAGTACATAATTGACCAAACAAAACAATTAAAACGTGACCACTGATTTCAGCAGTTCCACATATCTGCAGGATTTTGTTCTGTTAGAATTTCCACATTTCTCTGACCACTGAGGTATGTATATTGTATCAACGTACCTTGGCTTTCCGTTGGCAGCCTACTGCAGTACTGCACATGTCTGTGTTCTATCTGAAGGCATGACAGAAACGGACAGTTCCAAAATGGGAAGAACAAGTTAAAACGGAGGGAGTAATTAATAAAAGGCCCTAAAAGAGACCTATAATCATAAAGAGCTCATTCAAAATATATATGCTGAGACTCAAAGCATACGATATGTATCATGCTAAGACACTGATATCATACCTTTGCTGTTAAGAGCAAGAAAGTAAACAATTCTTTCAATAAATATTACAGAGTTAATCAGTTTAGTAAGGGGAATGAAGACAAGCCAAAATTAGTTCTTATTCAAAAAATACTGATGACAAATAAAGATCTAGAGCTCAAAATTCATTACCTAAACAGAATTCAGGAAACATGCCTTAATCTGACCTTCAAAAATTACAAGTATTTTACTCAGAAAACAGGACTTTGATGTCTGTGATCTGGTGAATTTTCTGACATTTGACACTCCCCTGCATCCTGTCACAAACCATATCCTGTAGCCCTGGATTTAATACATAATCACGATGATCTTATTCAACAAATGTATTACATTCACTAATTCTGAATTGAGATCTTTAAACAAGATAACAAAAAAAAATCAATTCTTCAGTTGCTTAATTTCCTTGAGTAGATCAAAGCATTGAGTCCACTGGTAGGATTCTTATGGAAAATCTCATTGTCCTGAAACAATTCTTTGTATATGGACAAAGCAAATTCCTTAAAAAGCTAGCGAGGAGAGCTCATCTCCATAATTAACTCCTTCTCAAAATTAATCTGGCGAGATGTATTCTGGTCTTGGGAGGGCTGAACACAAGAGTGCTTATGTACACTTAGCAAGCCATTGTTTCCATTATTGCATTGATTAGACCCAGGGTGCTTTGATTTCTTCATCAATCCTTCTAACTCTTTTGCAATGTCCTTCATAGATGGCCGGTCTTCTCCTTTAACACTAAGGCATTGATCTACAAGATTTCCAATGGTAATAAGCTCCTCCTGAGATGCTTCCTTCATGAGTTGAGGCTCAAGGATATCAAAAAGCTGATTGCTCTTGATTGAACTAATGAATTGCATCGCTAAATTCCTATCTTCCAGTCCAGTCTCCCATGAAATTGGCTTTCTCTTCGTTAACAATTCAACAAGAACTACTCCAAAGCTGTAGACATCACTCTTCTCAGACAGATGACTTGTCAGAAAGTACTCCGGATCAAGATATCCAAAAGTTCCTTGAACCAGGGTGGTAACTTGATCTTGATCAATGGGAACTAACCTAGAGACTCCAAAATCCGCTATTTTTGCTGTAAAATTATCATCCAAAAGAATGTTGGAAGACTTGATATCTCTATGGATGATAGGCATTGAAGCTGCAGAGTGCAGATAAGCAATCGCATTAGCAGCCTCAGTTGAAATTCTTAGACAGTGTTCCCAAGAGAGCCAACGGGGGCCATCATTGTGTATGTGATCAAAGAGAGTTCCATTAGAGACATATTCATAAACCAACAAGGGCACTTCAGTCTCCAAGCAACATCCTAAGAGTTTTACCACATTTCGGTGGTTAATCTGGGTTAGGATTACCACCTCATTGATAAACTGCTCGACTTGACTCTGATCACTTACCACAGATTTTTTTATTGCAACTACTTGGTTATTTGGTAAATTCCCCTTATACACGGTACCAAATCCACCACGTCCTAGAATGTTATTTTTGCTGTAATTGTTGGTAGCTTCCCTTAGCTCTTGAGTAGTAAATATTTTTGTTGAATCATTGTTACCTTGGTTCAAAGTAAGTCGCTGTTTCAACAAAAAGCCGCCATTTTGATGGAAGAACTTCTCCTTCAATTTCATATGCTTCCTTCTCTTAATACAAAGGTATATGCAGCTCATGTTGCCAGTACACAGCATTAAGCCAATTATTGAACCTGCGTAAATAATTTTTTGGCCCATTACTCAGTCATGTACTTGTATATGCTCAACAAACAGGTTACAGGTGTCTTCATGTATCAATAATATTAATGTTATTAGTCAACATCATTTCTGATTTCAGAAAGCATGACAAATCATGTTTTACTGCGCTTTCTTATATCATGCATAATGTATATATACCATAAGCCAATATTGTTTCAGTTGTGAGCCTTGTTCAATTCATAGCAGTCCCTAACACATAGTAATACTCAAGTTTGGAATACTTACTGCCAATGATAAACCAAATGATTCGTTGTGTATTTGGATCACGGTCAATGCCAATACAATGATAAAGATTTCCATCTTTGGAGCACCCTCGTTTGCATCCCTTACACTCTCTTGGGACTAGAATTGAAGGAGACTGATTATGATCACGAAATTAAGATTGAACAGCATAACAATAAAACTATAATGATTAATATATACGAAGTAAAAGTTAGGATTGTTTATGCTTACCTTGGCATCCATAAGGAAGATAAGGATTCCCATAATAGCCATATTTGCAGTAGCAATTAAAATTCTCTAGAGGACCTTCAGCAGGATAGCAGTACCTGTTTCGGTCATCAGAGGGCACTGCTATGTTTCCAGAGGCCCATTGCAGTACAGTCGGGATAACTGCAAACTCTGAGAGACTTGGATCAACCACCTTGTTTACAATTGCGGTCTTATTAATCAACATGATGTTCGTGCAATTATATTCACCTTTACCAAAGTTAAAAACATTTAAACGATAAAAGTCAAGTGACGAAGGAACATCTATGCTGCAACACCCACGGCCAGTGCAGTTATTCGTTATTATATGACCCTTATCACAAGCTGTCGTACACCCACCTAAGGCTTTATTACTTCTATCCAACAAGAGAGTACTACTCCCACAACCCCCCACGATAAAAGCATTGGAATCCCCAAAGAACCAGTAAGGAGTTCCCCTAAGGTCGATGCTAGTTATGTTTACATCTTGGACGCTGCAGGTCCTCTGCAGCGGCGTGTTCACTATTAAGGTGTGTGTATACATGTTTTCTAGACTAATCTCTACCACCTCATAGTTGAATTTACTCAGAAAAGGCTTTGGAGAAAGCAGAGAGGTATTGCAAGTAACAGCATATGGTAAGCTGTGGTAGCAATCTTCCCCTATACCAAACGGGTACGGAATGCTCACATTCCCACAGATATCCTGACAGCCAGGTTTCGCAATGGGAGGATCAGCTGTCATCGGCGGCAATGAAGATGCCGCCATCAACAATTGGTGCACCAACATAAATAGAGCTATAATGATGAGCTGAAACATGTTATAAAACATGGTACCAAAGGCTTTTTGTATAATGGACAGCATATATAAAAACTAAGTTGTTACAAATGAAAAGAGTAGAGCTTCACAGCAATAATCATAATATCATATAGATATCCCCTAAGAAGAATTGATGGTCAGCGGATTCAGATCCACCTAATCTAAAACTAGGGGTATACTTAAGAAAACAAGGGGAAAGTCAACAAAAGACAACTTAACCCAAAGTGAATGCTGTTTCTGGCCAATTTATATAATACTGACAAGATACACAAAATCCACTTCAGAAAAAGGTCAGTGTCAGCATCTATTATCTACAGGGTATTATAATATTCCTTTTTTTCTTTTTAATTTCTACTCAATCACTGAGTAATATAGATTAGAATACCAAGGAAAATAAAATTAAACAAATAGATACAATATAAAATTGAGGGAGGGGAAAGGTAGATAATTTGTGGGGTGATGGGGTTAAGACGATAATAGACATCTAATAAAATTGGAATGAAGGAGAAGTGAATAGAACAAAATAACTCACTAACCAAAAAGTATGTAGAACCAAAAAAAACAACAACCACAAACAATTGGGGCGGCTTATTTTTGAACGAGCAAAGAAATTTAAGTTAAGAAGATACCTTTAACAAAGTATTACCTCTGTCCGAAAATAATGGTCACAACTCATGCGTCCGTTGCATCGTATGTTGAGACTTTGGGAAAAAACAAATTCCCAAAGAAATAGAACTTTGACCTTCCACTAGCAAATCTTTAATCTTTTGACACTCCCTTCAGTATTCACTCTCTTTCACACTAGATTCCCAACCGCCCATGTGATTAAATAATTAACAATACATATTCGACTAAACAAAACAATGAACAAGTGACTATTGAGATCACCAGGCCAGCAGTTCCATATATCTGCAGGATCTCTGTCAGATATTCCACATTAATCTGAGAGTTGCTACTGAGGTTACTATATACTCTGAATCAATGTATCCTTAGATTTCTATTGCAGCCTGCTGGCCATGCCGGTGTCATTTCTTTACAGTGAAATATATAAAAGATGATATCACGATACATGAAGCAAACAACTACAAGCAATACTGTTCTTGCACGTAATATACTAACAAAAAAACATCTAAACTCAAAGCTATTAAAATTAAACAAAGAATCTTAAAACATGCCTTAATTTGATAGACCACCACCTATTTGGTGGAATTGGATAAATTTGATCTCCCAGGCAATTGCATTGTTTGCTTCAGTAAGTTGAAACGTTGTTGCACTTATAAAGAGTGGACATTTTCAATCCTGAAATTATTGTTTACAGTATGGATAAAAGAATTTCTTGATCAGCTAACAAGGGGAACTCATCTCAACAATTAAATCCTCCTCAAAATTTATCTGACGGGTTACATTCTGATCTTCGGAAGGCAGAATGATCAAGTGTCTATGTTCTTCATTATCGTGCTGATTAGAACAAGGTTGTATTATTATCTTCTTCATCAGTCCTTCTAACTCCGTTGCAACATCCTTCATGGATGGCCGATCATCTCCTTTTACACTAAGACATTTCTCTACAAGATCTGCAATGCTAAAAAGTTGCTCCTGAGATGCTTCCTTCATGAGTTGAGGCTCAAGAATATCACAAAATTGATTGCTCTTGACTGAACTAATGAATTGCATCGCTAAGTTTCTATCTTCAAGTCCAGTCTCCCATGAAATTGGTTTTCTCTTTGTTAAAAGTTCAACCAGAACCACGCCAAAGCTGCAGACGTCACTCTTCTCAGACAGATGACTTGTCAGAAAGTACTCTGGATCAAGATACCCAAATGTTCCTTGAACCAGGGTGGTAACTTGAGTTTGATCGATGGGAACTAACCGGGAGACTCCAAAATCCGCTATTTTTGCAGTAAAATTATCATCCAAGAGAATGTTGGAAGACTTGATATCTCTATGGATGATGGGCATTGAAGCTGCAGAGTGCAGATAAGAAATTGCATTGGCAGCCTCAGTTGAAATTCTCAGACAGTTTTCCCATGAAAGCCACTGTGCACCATTATTGTGTATGTGATCGAAAAGAGTTCCATTGGAAACAAATTCATAGACCAACAAGGGAACTTCAGTCTCCAAGCAACATCCTAAGAGTTTAACCACGTTTCGGTGGTTAATCTGGGTTAAAATTACCACCTCATTGATGAACTGCTCGACTTGACTCTGGTCACTTACCATGGATTTTTTTACTGCAACTACTTGGTGATTTGGTAAAATCCCCTTATACACAGTACCAAAACCACCACGTCCAAGAATGTTGTTCTTGCTATAATTGTTGGTGGCTTCCCTCAACTCTTGAGTAGTAAATATTCTTGTTGAATCATTGCTGCCTTGGTTCAAAGAAAGCCGTTGTTTCAACACAAAACCACCATTTTGGTGGAAGAATTTCTCTTTCATTTTCAAATGCCTCCTTTTCTTAACACAAAGGTATATGCAGCTTATGTTTCCAGTACACAGCATCAGGCCAACTATTGAACCTGCATGAAGCACTTTTAAGCCTCATTACACAGTTGTACACTTGTATATGCTTAACATACTAGAGTTATCATGTATCAATTACACTAAAATTTTATAATGAGCTTAAATAATGAGACTCAGCATCATTCAACTCCAGAAAAACATGATAATGTATATAGATATACTAATTTCTCTGCTGAAATCTTAGTTCTGTTCATGGTAGTCTAAATGCTATTCCTTAATTTATAACAGCAGAGCATAAGTATGGAACACTTACCACCAAGAAGAACCAAAAGGATCAACCGGGTATGAGATTTATCAGAATTGTATCGAACACATAGATAATGGTTCCCTTGTTTGGTGCACCCTAGCTTGCATTCCTTGCATTCTTTTGGTACTAATTAAGTTGGGAAAAAGTTAACTGAATCAGAAATTGTAATTGGGCAGCACTTTAAATTTTATTCTGAAATGTATCAGACAGTAAAGATCTGTAATGCTTACCTTGGCATCCATACGGAAGATAAGGATTCCCAAAAGTTCCATAATTGCAGTAGCAATCATACTTATCTGGAGGGCCTTGACAATTCTTGTTTGGGTCATCAGCAGGCATTGTTATGTTTCCGGGTGTCCACTCCAGTACTGTCGGGACTACTGCAAACTTAGAGAGACTTGGATCAACTGCCCCGCTGATAATTGATGAGGTTCTATTCATTAACATGGCGTTTGTGCAGTCATTAGTACCATTACCAAAGTTGAAGATGTTCACGCTGTAAAAGTCAAGTGAAGAAGGAAGATTAAAGCTGCAACACCCACGGCCAATGCAGTCATTCGTTATCATAGGAATCTTATCACAAACTGTTGCACAACCTCCAATGATCTTGTTGCTTCTATCTAACAAGAGGGTGCTACTCCCACAACCCCCAACAAAAAGAGAATTGTACCCCGCCGTAAACAAATAAGGAGTTCCCCTAAGGTCGATGCTGCTTATATTTGTATCTAGGATGCTGCAGGTTCTCTGCAGCGGAGTTTTTACAGTTATAGTGTTCTGAACCAAAGTATGAATACTTATCTGTTCAACCTCAAGGTTAAATTCGTTCAAGAAAAGTTTTGGGTGCAACAAAGAGGTATTGCAAGTAACCTCATAGGGTAGGCTGTGGTAGCAGTCATCCCCTATTCCAAAAGGGTACGGAATGCTCACATTCCCACAAATATCCTGACAACCAGGCTTTGCAATAGGTGGATACGCCACCATCAGTGGTGAAGATGCCACTGTAAGCAATGGGTGAACCAAAAAATATAAAGCTATTAAGATGAACTGGAGCAAGAGGTAGTTCATTGTTCCCAAAATATTTCAATTTTTACCTACCAAGAAGCTGTTTGGTCAGAACCATCTGATTCAAAATTATCCTTCTCCTGCAAGTTCTGAAATCCTTTAGCCCATAATGCTCAAGATAGGGGACTTCAACCTATTAAAAAAAAAGGAAAAGAATACTTGAAATTTGAAAACAGTGTAAAAGTCAACAACATACAACTTACCAAAAATGAAGCACAAAGCACAGCTAACCATGTGGAAGAACGTGAATGTTGAAATAATAGGATACTAATCAAATTATATAATAATTCAATCTGTAATTAATAAAATACCAACAAAACAGTGGTAGTAGCCTTTTATTGGACAATCAAAGATTTTTTAAAACTTGCCTTGTTGTCTGAATAATTTAACATTTCATATCCTTTAACAATTCCTCCTCCTTTCGCTCTCTTTCAAACTAGATCCAAACCCATATAGTTAAGTACTTACATTGACATACGGAGTACTTCACAGTTTACATGGTACATTAAGTAGGAGTGGGAAGCTGATTGTGAAGAAACTAGAGGAAAATTAAGGTCACATTAGCATTTTTTTAACTTCATTTAACTGACAGAAATGATAGCTTCACTTAAAATGTAACGCAATAGTGCTAGACCTTGGAAATTCATCAAGACCTTGCCAAAGCTCAATTGCTCAAAGGCTTTGTGTATCATGCATCTTCCGTTTTACATCACTCCAGATTCTGTCATCTTGCGTTGCAACCCCCTCAACTCCTTGAACACGAGTCCAAAGGCTTCTGCATTTTTTGAAGCTGTAATACAACTTCCTCCATGGTTGGCCTTCTTTCTCCTTGACTTTGGACACACCTCATAGTAAGCTCAGTAAACTGTGCTATAGTAGATTTTACACTTCCTTCTAGCAATAATCTCTGATCAACAATGTCTAACACACAATTTTGTGTTGTATATGAAATAAAGTAACTAACTAAATCACCACCTTGTTTCCACATATTTGCAGGATCTTTCCCGGTTATCAGTTCCACCATAACAACCCCAAAACTATAAACATCACATTTCTCAGAGACCACTAAGGTCTCTGCATACTCCGGATCAATGTATCCTTCACTTCCCACGAGCGGCCATTCTGGTTTCAATTCCTCAGGGTCAATAGAAATGGACAGTCCGAAGTTAGAAAGTTTAGCAGAGAGAGACTCATCCAAGAAAATGCTTGCTGACTTGACATTCCTGTGAACAATAGGCTTTGATTCTGCAGAATGCATATAAGAAATTGCATACGCAATTTCAGTGGCAATTCTCAAGCGATTTTTCCAGGAGATCCAGCACTCACTTGACCTATGCAAATGGTCAAACAAGTTACCATGCATTAACTCATGGACGAGCATGGGAACATGAGTCTCTAAGCAACAACCATAGAGGCGAACCACATTTTTGTGGCTGATATGCTGCTTGATAGTGACCTGATTTAAGAAGAACTCAATCAGTTCATCTGAGCCAGAAAGGCCATGACGGGTCTTTATAGCAACAGCTCGATCTTCAAGGTTTCCTCTATATACAGTGGCAATATTGCGACCAATGATCTGAGCTGGATGATAACCATTTGTTGCACGATAAATATCTTCATCTGAATATATCTTAATTGGCTCTTTACCCTTGCCTTTAAAGCATGCAATCTGCATCTCCAAAAGAACAGCCCCATTGCGGATGAAGTTTCTCTCTTTTTCCTCTGATGTTAATTCATTAATAGTTGGGATTTCAAGCATGTATGGATCATAAGAACTACACGAATAGCAGCTTTTTAACATCTTAAAGACCTGCAAAACACCAGCTAGTTTTGTGAGTGACTTCAGTAGTTGCAATCTAACAAATTACAGCCTAATTACAGCCCTTACCTATCATATAGAGAAAAAGAATAATTAACTGTCTAACAAACCTGAGGCAAAGTAAAAATATATTATCAAACACCATGTTCCAAAATGACAGGTAACCTAAGCTGAAAGTCCTTTTTAAGATCACATTCATATATAACATGGAATTATTGCCTATAGCAGTATAGCCTCAGCACAACGTGCTCCTTTTGAACCTTGGAACAGGAACAATAAAAAAGGTATTCATCAAAATTAGATTTAAAATAACAGATTAACAGATTGCAATCAGCACCCACCCAAGTGCTTTTTTTGCCAAGAAATGGGAGGATGTCAATTGAAATAGAAACCTCATATCCTATACTAGGCAAGATCCTAAGCAAATCGAAAACAAAATTATGATGATAAAGTTATTATACACTAGTAACTAGTTACATAATACGGAATATATGATAACAAACTAGACGTCAAGAAGTGAATTGCAATGCGAATTTTCGTACAAGTTCACAGCCAACAGAATGATGCTCATTAAGATCTTTTAAAAATTTTAGGCATCCTATCCTATATTATATGAAGTAATAAACAAGTCATTAAAAAGCTAAGTAATGCTGTAGAATTTTCCTTAAAAAAAGGTTCTCATACATCATATTTATCCACATGTATACCAACGGAAACCAAGTTAACATGACATAATAACTTCCCCTTTGCTATCAACACTATCCCATGCATTAGCATGAGTATATTCTAGCAAAATCTAATTCTATAGACATACTCAACAAATTTTGTAAAGAAACTATTATGAATTGAAATCTAAATAAAGATGTCAGTCGAATTAATACAATTACCTTGAACTTCATGGGCTTCTGAAGAGACATGTGAAGTAATACACAGAAGAAAAATAGGAAATCAAAGAAGAAAGAGTAGCTAAACAAGACTAAGGGGATCTAAGTTATATCTTTTGGATTGTTGGTATAACCATCAGAAACAAAAATCAGACTTAGAATTTATATTTAAGCCTTCTTTTAGATAAGTTGCCAGTTTGACTTATTATAGCAGTTATAATTGACTTAGTCTTAAGATGCAGTGTACACTGTAACACAATTGAACAGTTGATTAGGTACAATACTCTATTACTCTGACACTTCACTAGAAAATGGGACCATTGCATAGTCTATGGACTTATAAGAGTTATAACCAATAACATAAAATCGATACTCATACAATCATACAGTCGGTAAACAACAACAAATAGGGTGATTTTGTCGAGAAGTTTCGGAAGGTTCAGATGTACGAAATCTTATCCCTAATGAATGTAAAGATGTAACCAAAATACCCTAGAAACGCTGCTAAGCCAAACCTCTAAATTCCATTTTCCATGAAAGTAATTTCTATCTCAACCCAAAAAAGAGTAATTTCAATTGAAAAAGATAAAACCCAGCAAATATATGCTCATTATAGATCAAAAGAACAGAAAAGAAGCATTAGTACTAGTTTCGGCAAAAAATGAGCTAACCGGGCCTTGGAGGGGTGTCTGAGAACCTCGAATTTGGGCCTTGAATGGACCTGCAAAATGAACCCCGAGCCCCGGGGGTTGAACCCGGGGCGGAGCCTCCGACGCCCAAGTTAGTTGCCAAACAATGCATATTTTGAGAGGAGTTTAGGGGAGAGAGTGGAGGAGTATGGTCATCTTAGATGATAAGAGTGACCTCCTTTTACCTTATGCCCTTTGAGGGGTATTTATATGAGTACATAAGTGGGTTTATGAGCCCTAAAATTACATATGTGGGCCGTTGAAGGCCATATTGATGTATTTGACTTATTTGGGGCCTTTTATACCTTTTTTATGCCCTTTGGGCTTATATGGGTAGAGTTACCCAAGACTAAAATGGGTATGACCATTTTAGTACCCAAACAGTACTTATAGTAAGAAGTCTAGCTTAAAGAAATTACCAATTTCCCACCTTCAGTAGAAACGAATTAATAAAATCAAATCAGATAAAGTAAAATTTGAGTTTCAAATCTAGTTGGGAAAGCCAAATTGGATTCCAATCAACCAGAGAAAAAGCTCAAACCTTGCAAGATCTGGGGTCACAGAAACTTTCTTACGAATACATGTGAAGAAACGAAGAAAGCATTTTGGAGGGAGAGATGAACCCTTAAAAAAGGGTGTGACACTGTGACTATTGTCGAAGGGATGAAAATGGTTTGCAATTTTGTATGGATTGGTCTTTGGAAATTTGGCATTCATTAATCGTTAATATTGTGCACAAACTTTTAAAAAAATCGGGTGTACAATAATTATTGTATATCCATTATAAAGATAACCTAAAGTGATTAAAAGTTACCCCTGAAATGAATAAAAGTTACCCCAATATGCGTTAAAGTAACCAAATTCAAATAAAAATTATCTACGCTTTATTAGTAAAGAATCACATTTTAAATGACTATAAATCAATCAGAGGTTTTTCAGTGCGGCAAGTCACATGGTGCGGCACGGTTACTTGTATTTTAGGGTTACTTGTAGTTTGGGGTTACTTGTATGGTGTTACTTGTATTATGAGGTTACTTGTATTGGATACTTGTATCGTGGGGTTACTTGTATGTGTTACTTGTATTCTGAGTAACTCCAGACCAAAATCTCATACCAAACCAGTAACACCCTATAAATAACCCCTGATTAAAACCAATAACAGCCATACAAGTAACCCTACAATACAAGTAACACCTGACAAAACCAGTAACACCCTACAAGTAACCCGACCAAAACCAGTAACACCCATACAAGTAACCCCTGACAAAATCAGTAACACCCTATAAGTAACCCCGACCAAAACCAGTAACACTCATACAAGTAACCCCGGAATATAAGTAATACCTACAAGTAACCCCTGACAAAACCAGTAACACCCTACAAGTAACCCTTGTCGCACCATGTGGCCAGCCACATACAAAAATTTATATAATCAATTATTAGTGATTGAATGTAATTAACTTACCTTTATAAAACTTTTTTTGTTGTTGATTTATATAAAAATTATATTATGTTTAAAGTTACCCAAAAAAAAGACAAAAAGTTACCCTAAAATTAGCTAAAAGTTATCCTTATATTGCTCGATGTACACTAATGTTAGTGTAAACCGGATGTATACAAAAGTTTTTGTTGTGGACCAAATCCATATACAAACCATACCCAATTTGGCAACTACAATGGTTATAGCTATATACTCGTACTTGCTTGCAATTTATAAAACACAATAATTACTCGTATTAGCTTGACCATTTGAGCTAAAAATTAAATTTGCTTGAGAAAAAACTTGCTAGGTTAATAACTTAATATATTAATAAAATTAGATTTAAAAAGCTGAGTAACAAATTAAGACTCAATTAAATCACAGGCTAGTAGCTAACCATTGGAGCATAATTTAGCTACAAAAAAAAATAAAAAAATAAAATAAAAAAAATAAACCAACTGGTTTTTCTATATAGTAACTCTGTTAATTTCACTTTTCTACATGATGCCCCAACATATATCACTTTCCACACTGTAGCCCAAATATACATTTTGTTTTCATACGGTAACCTTGTCGTTAAAAATTTCGTTAGTGGAGCCCACTCTCGATTTATTTATATTTTTTTATTGATTTGCGCGTTGAAAAATGTTCCAGCTAAGGTTTTGGGGTTTATTTTAGGTTTTAAGAAACCAAATTGAGCTCAAATTTGACAAAAAAAATAACCTAAATGCCTCGTTTTGCTTATTAAGAAATGTCTCGATTTACGTGTTTACATTTTAACACACAAAATGAGACATTTACATTATTTTTTTGTGAAATCTAAGTTCAATTTGGTTTCTTAAGAACAAAGTAGCTCCAAACCTTAAACCTAACATTTTTCAACGCACAAATCAATAAAAAAAAAAAAACAATAAATTGAGAATGAGCCTCACTAACGGAATTTTTAACGACGGGATAACAGCAAGGCTGTATAGAAACAAAATATATCTTGGGGTTATAGCAAGGTTACAGTGTAGAAAGTGATATGTGGTGTTGGGGCAGAACGTAGAAAAGCGAAATTTACAGGATTACGATATAAAATAAAAAAACACTCTGTACTCAGCAAAATCCACCTTTGCCATACAATCTTTTATGACTGCACTCAACCAAACTAACCTTATAAACCCTTGTACTCTGTTCCCATACAATGAAAGTTGTTACAACAATAAACCACCATTTTGTAGAAAGAATTTTTCTTCCATCTGATAAGTTTCTACCAATAAGTATTTTTTTTAAATCAAGCTAAAAATATTATTTGAGCATGAAGATTGAAGCACTCTCTAGTCTCTACAACAAGTCAAGCACCAGCAGCAGAAGCGGCAGTATTGGCTTACCTTTCTATTCTTGTTATTAAAGTGTGCAGGATAACCCATAGAGCAAGAAGCATATGTCAACTGAAGTGACTGTACCCCTGCAGTCGTCACAGGAAGTAATCATCTTTCCAAGCAGCAAATAGAGATCCTGTCTCTATAACAACAGGAGAAGAAAGTTATCCATCATAATTACTCTTTGAACTAGTCACCGCCATTCTTGTGCTCAATTTTCAAACAAATTAGGTGCAGAAAATCAAGGGTAAAAATCAAACAACAGGTGTGCAAGAACATTTACTGATTAATATCTGAATCAATCAGTAAAATGAATTTGTAGCAGCATACGTAACTTCTCTTAATGATGAAATGATGCCAATCACAATTTTACAAAATAATGATCAAAATCGATCCAACAAGAAAGAATAGGAGCAAATTTTTTTATATAAAAAATCAAGAATTTTAAAAAAATAAATAAATCACTTAAACTCCTGCTTTTGTACCATGAAAAACATCACATAAATCTGAGAGAGAATATACAACTGAGGAAAGTACCAAAGGTTACCTGACTTACCTCATTGCCAAGTTTCCTTCATCCTCAAAGATGGAAAAAAATTGTGCTCACTGCTCAGTACTTTGAACAGTACGACAAAGTATAATAGAAACATGCAGAATGTAACAGCATAAGCACCTGTTCTTATTTGCATACAATTTTCTAAAACAATAAGCATCTTATTGTTGGTAAATTACAGAGAGAAGAAAAGATGACAGGCCTAGTATATCTGAGATTGTATATTGAAAGAAGATTGTACAAGTCATATTCCTTCGCTCATGAGGTACATAGCCAAATAGAAGGTTGCAGACATTAAAGTAGAACTTCAATATTACAGTTGTATATAACCACGAATCTCCAAAGCAAGAAAAATTGGGAGCATCAAACTGGTTACATGATTACATCTTATCATTTTAGATTCACCGAGACAACAAATATGGTCATACAGAAATGGAAAGCTAGGAATAAAAATTGTATAGAATTTAGATGACCATGTCATGTAGTTTGACGATCATGTCATGGTGCATCATGATACCGATCAAGTCAAAAGTCATATAAGTTTCAGACGAGATCATAACACAAAAGAGAAGATAATTTTATATATACATGATGTTACATGAGTCCCCCCACCCAAATGGAAAAAATCAAAAAAAGAGAACACCAAGAATTCAATGCAGAGTAACAAAATTAGTGACAAAGGAATTCTGCAATTGAAAGAATATCAAATACTAAACTCAAAATGTAACGTCTTTCATGAGCTCATCCAATTGTGGCTGAGCTCATCTGCAGAAACATTTAAGCCAAGAAGAGACAGATCTTTACGTAACACATCTGCACCTTTAAATTGCAGGCCAACCATCCCAACACTCACTGCTCCCTCCACATTTTTTATCCTGAAACCAAAAATCTCATCACAACAGTGACATGTAAAGATTCAAATATAGAATCAGAATAAACAAGGCTTAAAAAATATTCATGGCGATGACTTTTCAGATATGTAAACACTCATAGAAGTATCCTGTATCCAGCATATACAGGTCAAACTATTGAAAGATCTTACATATTTTTTGAAGTCCTATACCCAAGTATCAAGTTTGTGTATAGCTTTCAGATGTATTTGCAGCATAGAACAGCAAAAAAACCTACTAAAAAGCAATGTGGTTTTGCAAATTTTTAAGTTTCAGCCATCAAATGAGCAGTTTGCCAAATTCACGGATGACAGATAACATGAAATAGCAAAGAAAATATTAGAATAAAAGAAAAAGGAAAAGAGGCGATGGGAAAGTCCTAAATGAATTGCATGATTCACAAAGCTCAAAAATGAAAATGAGAGCTGTAGAAAAGGTCCAGTTCAGGAAATAAATTGAATGCAGGCAGTACACAATCAATTTGGGGGTACAGGTTATTAAAAATTCCCTAAAACCAAGACAAGCATTGAACTACAAATCTACAATGAGAGTTTAATATTCACAATTGCTGGAAGCACTTACCGATCATCAACAAATATACAGCTTCCTGGCTCAACGTCAAGGTATTTGAAGGCTTCACTATAAAAACTAGGGTCTGGCTTTAATTTACCTGTAGAGCATTAATTAGAAAAACTGGTTTCAAAACAATTCTTCATAATGAGAATTGAAAAATAAAACAATGATCACAATTGAGCAAACAATAGTTTAAACAAACAGCATCAAATAGTACATTAGCTAGTTCTTTTTTGATATAATATTACAAAACACATGTTATCAGGTTTTTCAGTCCGATAAAAAAGGGCACCAAAAAAAAAAAAAAAAAAAAAAAAAAACCTAAAATAGGGAGGATAAAAAGAAAAGAAGAAAGGTGTGGCATAAAAAAGTGGAAGTCCACAATAATTCAACATAGAAAAAAACAAGTTCTATTCTAGTCTGACAGGTCAGCGGAGAGAATAAATTAATTAGCAAATGACATTTTAAAGCACAATTGGCTCAAGCTACCACGAAAACCAAATACCATCCCTCATAAAATCACCTATTCTGATTTGGCAGGTCAGTGATATCAAGAAGAAGAGAGAATCAACATGGGGAATGAACACAATTTTATAAAATTTTGAGCAAAACTCAAAAAATAAAAAATAAAAAAAGATCAAGGTTCAATGGCATAAAATAAAAAGAACTGATAGATGAGCTTAATCCCAGAGTAGTTCACAGCCATAGAGATTCTAATACTAGGCATGGTTAAATATGACGGTCTATACCATTATTAGAATTCAGGGTCAAATTGAAAAGGGGTGATCAATGATCATTTACAGTTTTGTAAAGATGTTCAGCGATGTACATGACAACAGTTGATTGTTCACAGTTTGTTAGATGGTCTAATCACTCCAATGGAAGGAAGAATTCATCACCACAAAGAAAGAAAGCAAGCAGTCACCCATAGAATAGTTGAACATTTTTTACCAACATTCTACTACGCAATGTTGAAAACAAAGGGCACAACTGCAGCCGGAAATCCATAAACTGGTAGTAAAAATGTAATATACCTATTGTACAGGAGCAGAATGTCCAAGATAAATAAGTTGATAGCTTTAACTTATCCTCGATTAGTTGATACCTGCAAACAAATTACAAAAGTACAAAGTAAGTCACATAAAATAGAACCCAACAAAAACATACTCTATCTTATAAGAGAATGAAGGAAATCTCAAATACCAGATTGGATAATTTGTAAAAGCGTGCATTTCATAGTTGTTTCTCTTTAAAACTTGAAGAAGATCTTCAACACCATCTAAGTAGGAATATCCTCTTTTCATGCATGCTTTCAGGCCTATAAAGAAAATTGTAAAGCTTCAGTCTATCAAATAACTAGTAGCACAAGTTCAAGATATCTACAAGTATCTAAGTATAATACAAAGATCTATTATAGGAGAAAGAGAGCTGGAAATTGGAGAATAGTTACACAGTAAACACTACAAAGTGCTCCCTTATTTACCAAATTGCTCGCAGATTTTTGTATGTATATTATAACTCATTATATAACAATAACACAGGCCACTCAATGATCAATAACTAAAAATATGTGTATCGAAGGAAGGCAGGAGACAAGGGTACTCTCTATGAAACTATAAATACCATCATCACTATGCATCTATATAAGCCCATAATAAAACTAATATATAAGCCCATAATAAAACTAATAAATAAACAAATAAAAATAAGTTGAGTAAATCAATTTTTCCAAACAATCTATTCAGTAGTATTTGACTATTTGGTCTATACAATCCTCTAGTTAATTGCTTGCATGTAACTCAATTCAGGTCCAAACCATCCAATACACCTGAATTCCCACACCTCGAACATCAGTCAAGTTTCAACCATACACCTAAAATAATAAACTTCTGTAGAGTGCTGGAAAAGAAATAGTGATCACATATACCAACAGCAAATTTGGAACTCAATATTTTCTTTTTATTATATAATAATAGTTCAAAATTCCATGAATGACACATTGTAGAGGGTCCAGCCTTTATACCATTTGTGAAAAAGTTAATAAAGGAAATAAGACAATAAATTTGCCCAGCAGTTCAAAACTGAAACTCAGATTCACCATGATCAACACAAGAATTCTAAGTATACCAACTCACCTTCCACATCAAGGTGCCTTCCATCTTTGAAAAACTTTTTAGCTAATTCAGCCTGCAGAGAGCAAACTTATAAGTCAGGCAGGAGCAATGAAATTATAGGCAGCATTAAAAACATATAATTTCAGCAGAACATCTTAATTCCTATTTAGGGGTCTAAATATATACTTTCAAATGTTTTAATATACTGTTAAAACATATCCTGTCAAAGTTCCCACGTATACTATTCAAAATTTTCCCAACAATATTTGCCTCTTGAATTTAGATAAAACAGACATGCTATTGGCTTTTTTGTTTTTCCAAACCGTGACTGTTTCAAAAACAACTCCCATCAAAATAAATCAAAGGGTGACATAGAACATTCACTTCAGCTTACGCATTACCCAGCTAACCAAAGTAAAACTTTGCAAAAACCTATTCCATTTTAAATTATTTTCTAGACAAATATATCAAAAAGGTAGCCATTTTATGTGACTTACTATACAATAACCAATTTTCTGTTCCACTCTAAAATCAGAACTTGTATCCCAGGTGCATCAAAAATTGTGACCTTAAAAGCAAGCAAGATGCTCGGGACAGGCATCCCTGAGACCCTGAGAGCAAGCAAGCATCCCACTCAAATACAAGAGATATTCCCATATATGATGTCGGCTTCTAGAATACAATCAAAATCTATTAAAAAAAATGAAATTTATTAAACTTGAAGAGCAAACAAGATTTTCTTAAACTCTCACATCTGCTACTTACTAAGAAAGTAAGAAGCATATTTGAGAATGTCAAAGGCAGACATGTGGGAAGTTAAGAAAGAGTTACTGAAAAGACGATATATAAAACAGGTGAAACGAAAAACAACTGGAAGACCACAATATATCCAACAACAACCAGTATAAGTAAGAACACAAAGACGGCCATCAGACTGCTCAAGAATCAAAATAAGTTGATGAATCTCACTTCTAGCATTCACCATTATACCTCATTAATCAATCCCATTTCAAACTCACTCCAGGCAGTTGGATGCTTGCATTCCATCAACTCCTTCATGGACATACTGGGGACAAAATCCACAATAGACAAGCAACAACATTACTTAGAGTAACAAAAACAATACAAAGATTCATGACATCTCTTTCAAGAGTTTCAGCTCCTGCAATTCATAGTTCTGGTGGTCAAGCGACCAAAAAGTACTTAGGATATTACTCATATTAGAAAAACCCAGATATGACAAACCCAACAGTTTAAATGTATCAACAGAACCAACATCATTGCTCCAAACCATCCAGTGATAAATTTTTATTGTCTTAATAAACGACTAATACCAATCCACATAGCATGAGGGGGGAAAAGTGTCTTGCTATACTGGTTTAGCTTGAATTTGACTATGAAGTCAAGTTTTTGAGAGTCTTTTACACCAACACTCAAATAAATAAAGAAGTTTTCTCTACAATGTACATTGAGAATGATGACTGAAACATACTTCTAAAATCCACTTTTCTATCAAGATTTTCTTCCAATTCAATTTAAACTCCATAATATTCACAAGTTCCCGCCTTATTCGGCAAATTACCATACCATACCAGTATATCACACACTACCTGCAATGCCTAGCCTCCCAAGTCCCACCCTCCCCCGGCCGGCCGTGCTTGACTAGATCGATCATGCTCTCGAAAGAACATACAGTTCAAATAATCCATATAACATAAACACCCTAGATCAAACCTAATACAACTTCAGATTAATTTGGTGCAATAACATAAATTTCAATCATTTTTTCCCAATCATAATAAGGGGCATAAATAAAGCAGTTTAAGTTTCCAAACCTTTCATCATTAACCCAGAAACATAAACACATCCACATAAAAATGGAAAGAAAAAAAAAAAAGGGAAATCAATGGAATTGAAAATTACCCAAAAAAAGCTGGAACATCATGGTAAAAGGGATCACGAACAAGTGTATCCATAACATCAAACAGCAAAATGGGCAACTTTTTCTTCTCAATTGCAGCAGAAGAATCAACAATGGTGCTAAAATTGGAGCAATTAACACTATCTTTCATGGTAATTGAACTTCTTGAGTTTGACTTTGGTGGGTCTAAAGAAAATTTAAGAGGGAAAGAAATTGTGGGTTTGAAAAGAAGTGCCATTTTTTTGTGAAATTAATTAAATTTAAAAAAATTTGTGTTAGTGATTTTTAGTGTATGAGATTCAATCAAAGAAGCTGAAGAAAGAAACAAGAGTATCATGGACAAATTTATAGGAAATTGTGGAAGAGGATACGGGAGCAGTGGAGTATCAACTATTCAAATCTTTATTTATTTAATTAATTAATGGAGGATAAGATAATCACAAATCACATTTTTGCGTGTAAATGGCAATGTAAGGAAGTGGCGCACGATTAGAGTTTGTTATTTTTGAGGAAATTCAAGTTTATTCCCTCGATAAACTTGAAGTGTTTATCCGGGGGTATTTGCGTCTCTGAGTAAGGGTATACAAGTAAATTGAGCGGGGGAAGTGTTAACAGCCGTTATGTTGGAAAATTTGACTCTAGTTAACCAAAATGTAACTCAGGTAAACTCAACCTTCTGTTAACCAACAAGTAACCCAAGGTAAACTGTTCGATTTTGAAGGGGAAGGAGACAACAAAATTCTTTAAGACGGTGGCGGCTGGAAGGCGATTTAAGGTTTCAGATTTACGGTTTTTAAGACGGTGGTGATCGAAGACGGTAGTGGCGCTGGTTTAGCAACTTCAGGCGGTAACAATTGGAGTGGTGGGCCATCAGACGACGGCGATTGGAGTGGGTATCGACTGGTGGCTTCAACGGCTGAGGAAGCGGCTACTGGGGCGGTGCATGGTTGTGGGTATATATGATCTGTAAAACTTACTCCAAGTTTTTGTCGATTTTGCTTATCTTCATCCCCTCTCTCTGATTGTTGAGCAAAACATTCAAAAAAAAGAAAAAAGAAGGTGGTCACGTGGAGCTTGCAACTACCTATGGTTAAAATGGATCAAACGTCTGTTAAAACCTACATTCCACTTTTTATCTGACACATTTGTTTACTTTATCCACATGTAAGCAATCTAGCAAGATCTGTCACATGCTCTTTTACGGAAGTGCCATCCGATAAACATAGTGAAACGCTAAACATCGCCCGCAATTTACCATATAAAGCCCACAAATATGTTATGATTTGACCATTATGCCCTTTTGCTAAAATTGAGATAATCTCGGTGTAAAAAATGTGGAGCCGTACTGGCTCGTCGGGGGAGACCGGATGGCAGGCCGGAGATGCGGGGGACGCCGGAAGTACGTCGTCGTCGACGGAAAACGAGGTAAGTGACCGCTAAAATTCACGGTTTACCGTCGTAGTGGCTACGGCGCCTAGGGTGGACGCCCAAACCGTAGCCTGGACGTCCAAGCCGGACGCCAGAACCACTAGAATGGCGTCCAGGCTAGACGCCCAGACCACCAAAGTGGCGTCCAGCCCAGACGCCCAGACCACCAGACCGGCGTCCTGGCCAGGCGCCACTCCACTGGGTGAGGCGGCCCTGCCAGGCGCCAGTCCAGTGGGTGTGGCAGCCCTGGCAGACGCCACCTTTAATAATTAATTTTTATTTTTTCCTTTTTGATTTTGTTGTTGTTTTTTATTTAATTTTTTTGTGAAAATAAAAAATCGAAAATGATTTTTTAAAAAAATTCGAAATGGGTTTTTTGTAAATTAAATTTGGAAATTCGAAATAGGTTTTTTTAAAATTAAATTTGAAAATTCGAATTGGTATATTTTTAAATTTAGTTTGAAAATTCGAATTGGGTTTTTATAAAAATTAAGTTTGATTATATATAATTATGTTTTTTTTGTGTTAATTATGTGGAAATATAGAAATTAAATGTATTATCCGTTAAATGTATTTATTGTAATATATAATTGATGCAGGAATATGGTGGAGACGGAAATGATTACGGTGAGATATTTGGACATGATGGTCCATTCGAAGAAGCTCAACAGGCGATTGATTGGGCAAAACAGGTTGCAATTGCAGCTGGATTTTGCTTGGTAGTAGCAACTCATAAATCTCAACGGGATGGTAGAATGGATCGCATTTTGAGATGTGACCGTTATCGCAAAAGAGAAGAAAGAGATTTTCGTACAGCCACTCGGTTTGACATAAAGCGGAAAGGTTGTGGGTGTGAGTTCAAAGTAAAGGTTCGACAACTACGGAGTCGTGACGGTTGGGAAGTGATAGGTTACTCTAAATGGGGGTATCACAACCATGAGATGATAGTATATGAAGAGGGTCATCGACAACTGAGCGGCTTAAGTCCTGCTGCGAAACTAGTTGTGAAAGAAATGAGTGATGCTCAAGTGAAGCCTGCTAAAATATTAGCATCTGTGTTAGAGAAATTTCCAGAAGACCATCCAAACCGAAGACACATCTACAACGTCAGACAGCAACTCAGGTTTGAACGGTCAGAGGGAAGGAACCCTATACAGCAGCTGCTACACCAGGCACAATCACGTGGTTACCTGTTCTGGTTTGATTCTGATGAAGATACAGCGGAGGTGACTCATCTTTTCCTTGTGCATCCTGATTGTGCTGATATGATCAAGTCTTGGCCATTTGTGATTTTGATCGACTCAACGTACAAGACAAACAAGTACAAGTTCCCTCTGGTTGAGATGGTTGGGATGGCTCCAACGAACCAGAACTTTCTGATTGGTCATGCAATCATCAGGGATGAGACGGCTCCAAGTTATTATTGGGTTTTGGAGAAGCTGAGAAACTACATCGGGCCTAATGTTCATCCAGCAGCCATCGTCAGCGACTGTGAGGGAGGTCTCTTTGCCCCCATAGCAGAGCTGTTTCCCGAATCGAACCACTTATTGTGCACATGGCACATCAACAACTGCGTGAAAGTGAAAGCCTACAACCTTTTCAGGAAGAATTTGGAAATGGCAGAGAGATTGGTGAATGGTAAGTGGCGGAAGATCCTAAAGGCTACCACAGAGGAAGCGTATGAGCGAGCATTGGCTAACTTCAGGGATTCGTACCAGTGGTGTCCGGCACTGGTGGACTATGTGATGCATCAATGGGTCCCTCATAGGGAAAAGTTTGTCAAATATTGGACAAACCAGGTACTTCATTTTGGGAACACTACAACATGTAGAGTTGAGAGCGCTCATAGAGCTACCAAGGACTGGATTGATTCATCGACCGCTGCTTTGGATACACTGTTCGCTAGACTGAACAAGTCAATTGAAACTCAGAAGAACGACATCAGGAACTCTCTAGAGGACTCCAGACGACGACATGGTACGATGTATAGCCATTTTATATTTAAGATTCTCCATGGTCGTGTGTCGCACTACTGCTTGGGGTTGATTCTCACTGAGCTGAACAGGGTGAGGGACTTGGCTGACGAAGTGTATACTCGGTGTGGGTGTACTATTTCAGTAACTCATGGATTACCTTGCGCATGCACCATTCATCGCGTTATTACAGAAGAAAGGGCGTCGTTACATGTTGATCAGGTCCATTCATTCTGGAGGACGCTTGTTATTGGTGAGCATGCAGACAATCAAACGGCCGACCGTGAACAGGAAGAGTTGGAGCAGTTCCGTTCGATGTACGACCGAGTGTCCTCCAGCCATCCTTCTATTATTCGTGACGCTACTCATGTGCTTCATGACATGTTCCACCCGTCTAACTTAGATTATGAGGAACCCGAAGGAGTTGACCGTCCTCGAGGTCGACAACGGCGGAACAGGAGTGCGTTTGAGTATATCCGTGGTCTTGGTCGTGGTCGTTCTCGTGGTCGGACATCGTCATCTAGTCGTAGTCAATCTTCATCGTCTGTGAATATGCCCCTGAGAACTGGTACGTTTTGGTTGTTTTTATTGCACATAGTTTTAAAGTGTTACTCCTGTCTTCTTAACTGTCTATAATTAATTATTTGGTGAATAGGAAGAAACGATGTTGATCATGTTCCGTACAAGGAAAGGATACCTGCGATCATCATGTCGTACGTGGAAGGGTGGAATGATGTAATCGGAGATGGTAACTGCGGATTCCGGGTCGTGGCTGATGTTTTTCAAATGGGCGAAGACAACTACGGTTTGGTGCGTGAGTTGATGTACAGCGAAATTGCCTCTAACCGAAATGTTTATCGTCATGTGTACTAGGATGACTTGGATGGCGCTCTCCGGCGTATCCGGTGGGGAGGTGGACCTTGCGGCGAAAATCATTATTTTGACGCGCCCCTAGATCTGTTTGTCGTTGCAAACATTTACAAATGCGCAGTCATGCATTTCGGCCTGGGAGTGCATAGTCAAGCTTATTATCCTTGTACCACGGTTCTCCCTTGGCGGTCGCGTGAGACTGTCACCACACCGGTCAGAGAGCTAGCTATTGCGTTTCTTGGGTCGTCATACAGACATTTCATCCGACTAGACATGTCAACCGATTTTCCGGTGCCACCGATTATACCTCGGTGGTACAACATTTGCACAGCGAGCGTAGAGGGTTGGGATGCGCTATATAATGACCGGATCCACGAATGGAACACCCTAGCTGCATTTTAGTTTTTCTTGTTTACATTCTTTATTTGTAATCTTATTTGTACGTTGCTCTTTTAATGAGAACATTAATATTTTATATTGTATTGCTTACTGCATTCTATATGTTGCATGGGTAAGTTGCGCGGATCCACGAACGGTTATGTCAAAATTAAAAAACAGCACTGATAATATGTTTAAGTTGGAAGCTAAAAGAACAATCTAAAATGTTACAATTTTACAACATAATGTCCAACATAATGCTCTATAAATAAAATACAATAACCATCAGTAATCCCTCCTCGACGACGACTCCCACTGCGCAAGGGTCTGTTCCAGACTATCAACAACAGCTCTCCCTGTTGCACTGATGCTGTCCTTCTCAAGAGAGAGTTTCTGAACGTCTTGCATTATCTTTCCCATCCACTGCATACAACAAAAAAAGAAGATGAAATACAATAACAACAAATAAAACTTAATTAAAAGACAACGATAAATATAATAAAAGACATACCGCTTCCGTGGCAGTAGGCGGTGGCACATAATCATCATCGCTGTGGTCGAGATCAGCGATCAACCTCGGGTGCGAATACCGGTTGAACCATTCCATGTAGTAATGGTCACACATGGGAGTAACCCCAGAGGGCGGCCGCTGCAACTCCGCTGTCCATAATCGAGCCACCATCGGAAACTGGTCCCACGTCCCGGTCATGATATCCGGCCATTCCACGACGTACTCCCTCGACGATGCAGGTCGGACCGCCTTCATCGGGCACGCCGGGGGAGGAGGGACAACTTGGACAAATCCAAGCTGGCGAAGACAACGCTGGGGCATGTACGCTTCGACGATGTCACGATACTGAATGAGTCCCGTGTACAGGGTCCTGGGTACCCTAACACTAGGGTTCGGGCCGAAAGGCATCCAGTTCACCTGTACAATTACAACATATAAAATATAATAACATGAATATAATATGTGCAAATAATAAAATGTAGACTCTATAAATAAACGTTACCTCTAAGGGGGACAGCCTGTCCAGCAATAACCGTATCGATCGGAGGCGGTCAACGGACTTCTTCTCCGAGCGCGGACTCCACGCACAAGCACGCGGCATCCCCTCATCAATAGGAACTGGGTCACGATGTGGTCGCAATGCAGGAAAATACTCGTATATCCAAGTCTGCAATAGAGTCAGACACCCAGTGATACCTACCGCGTCAGCCCGACTCGCAAATCCTAGTTGGCGATACAAATACGCCAACGTAGCCGATCCCCAGGAAAACTGGCCTACACTGTCGGGGTCACACGCCTCTACGATGTCGCGTGGCCTGAGCTTGTTTCCGCCGCTCTTATCCGGAAACAAGGTACATCCGAGGAGTAGAAAAACATAAGCACTCAGCTGTGCGTCGGGCGTCCTACGTGCACTCGGGTACAAACACCGCTGCAACACAGATGCGATCTTCACACCTCCGTGTTCCCAAACACCTAGCGCCTCGGTGTACAGTGCAGCCCTGTCCACCGCCA